CGAGCCGCCCATTCCCATATGTTATCCCCATGATGCTGAGTGCCAGGCGGGGAAAGAACAAGTAGCATATTTTATCATCTGGTGATATTACTTTATTCTTGGATTCGAACCACCAACCTTAAACCTGTATCCCCTTGACCATGAGATTGGGGTGTTTTAAAACCACACTTACAAAAATATTTTAGGTTTATTCGAAAGGATTCGTAAGAATGAGGTTTTAGTGTTAATGATATTGAATCCTAAAAAAGACTAAACGACTAGGAATAATGTATACAAAACTGAAAAAACAGAATCAGCAGCAATTCTGAAATTAATCTATTTGAATTCGATTTCTCATTGATTGATTAAAAATCATTTATTTAATATTCGAAATTGGATTAAATCGGATTAAATCCGGAGGGTAGCATCCTCTGTAAATCATCCGGATTAACTATTGTCCGCATTAAAGAGTGGTCGGTACAAAGTAAGCATGGCGATTCGTCAACGTATTGCAGCATTAACTTACATGTATACTCATGCTAATAATGGTTGTCACCCCCCTCCCCACCCCAACCCCACACCCACCTCACACACCCACCCAACACCCCCTCTCCAATTGAAAAAAATGAAGGGGGTGACAACCATTATTGGCATGAGTATGTAATGGGCCGGTGGCCCCTTTATCGAAATAAACACACTCACTAGATATGTGATGATGTTTGTCCAGTAATTACATTGTCTGTAAGCCTGTATTGCCAATGAACAAAGTGTAAATGTCTCCCGATGATATCAATATCATTATCATTATTGCAAGATCTGAAAGGTGCGTGGGCGATAGCCAAAACACAAAGCCCCACAAACGTAGGTGGCCGAACTACATACGTCAGAAATTATCGCTAAAAAACACCTGGCGTAAGAGCTTTAGTGTTCGTATCTGCTACAGCAGAGGTGATAATTATCTTCCTGGTTCACAAATAACACAAGGAACAAAGGCCGTTATTGGTCATAGTGTATCAACATGTAGGGAGTTACCATATCCTACATCGACTCAACGGGGTATTCCATGAAGCAGAATTTTATAATCTCCTTGATGTCGTGCAGGTGTTGTTATTAGGGATTAAGTCACTGGGTGCCTTAAAATTCTGAACTATCTGGTGAAATAGGGTTTGAAATATCAAATATCAGTTTAAACTTATTTCATTTCTTTACCAGTTCAACTTTTCTTATCAACCATGTGCCAAGAATAACAATAGACGGGCCAAGCTCACTTAACCGACTCAACACCCCAGTATCAACCCAGGGGCGATATTTGCTATAATATGAAATTATAATTCTATGACATTTATAACATTAAATTGTGTAATATTATGGGGCTTTGCGGTAATATTATGGGCGCTTTGCGGCTTTTTCCTGGAAACAAATAATTCAATTTATACTGAAAGGGAGCCCCAGTGAGAACGGAGATTCAGAAAACATTTAACGAAACTGACCCTGAAGAAATCTAATCTTGCTTCATTTAGGGCTTTTACACTTCAGAAAGTGCTGGGCAAAAGAAAGAGTAAAGAGGTTCAGGGAGTGTGAGAAGGCATTGTCATGAAAAAGCTAAACGAGCATACGACGCACGAAGGGAGATAACTTCAATTTCTTACAACGCGTGCTGATGACGATCGGTTATTCAAAATGAAGTCAATTCAGGGGACGAAATTCATTCAGGCCTTATTATATCACCTCCTCATCAAAATGACCTTCTCTATCGCACAGGATGCTGTAAATCATTGTAGGTATATGATGATGGTAAAATAACACAAGATGGTGTGGAGGCCACGAGCATATTTTCGCAAATAAACAATTTTGAGGTAATTCACAAACACAGCCAACTAGACCAGGTTCGAATCCCAGTTCGTTCCGATATTGTTTCTAGTGTGTTCCACATTAAGCTGACACATAGTTACATAACCTGACTACTGTTTAGTTATTGTTATAATGGTAGGATATGGTTATGAACTAATATTGCTAATGCCTGGATGGGGTTGAAGTTCTGTGAAATAAAAGGGCGGTGGGGTAGCCTCGTGGTAAAAGCGTTCGCTCGTCAGGCTGAAGACCCGGGCTAGTATGTGGCAGTGTAATTGCGGGTACAATGTATGAAGCCCATACGTGATATTGCTGGAATTTTGCTGGAATATTGCAAAAATCGGCGTAAAACCAAACTCACTCACTGTAAAATTATAGTCCCCTTGAGAGGCTATGTGAGCCCCACGTAAATCAAAGAATATATGTTTTAAATCGTATTAAATTTATCATTTTAATCGTAGTATATATATATTTTTCGATCAATGGCTAAAATTGCGTACAATGGCTAGCAGCTGAGGGGATGGTATAAATACTGTTGGGGAACCGTGCGGGAAGCAGACATATTGTAATTCCCCACAGTCTCTGGTTTTGTGGCCATTTATTTACATTACCGGGCATCCTCCTGATCTGCGCCAAGAGATCAGGAGGTACCAAACCAACGGCACCAGGACGACAGAGTTTCACACCAGCCGACTTCCCAAACGAGGGTAGCCTAATGGTTGAAGCGTCTGCCCGTCACGCTGAATACCCAGATTCGATTCCCTACATGGGTACAATGTGTGAATCCCCCGCCGTGATATTGCTGGAATATAGGTAAAATCGGCGCAAAACCTTACTCACTCATCCAAACGAAGGCATCAACAGAGTCGCTCTTCTCAACACACATTGCACATAAACTCGGTACGGCGGTCGTTCAAAGATCCCCTCCTTGAAAAACGGTGTCTGTGCTGATTTGACATGGCATTTCTCTTGGTTGACATTCATTGCACCGTCTAGCTGTAAAGAACCTTCAACATTGACGTTGACATTCTGTCCAACATGTACATCTGTCGCTATTGTTAGATAACTGGTGAATGCCTTGTTTACATCGTACGTTTTACTATGCTGTACAAGCAGACCATCAGACAAGTAAATGTGCTGAAAAGTGCACATTAGGGCCTGTAAGTCTCGGGAGGCGCTACTAAGATGGTTTCCGATATGCGAGACGGGACCCAGCTTACTTCCGGTACCAGATTTCCGGTGACAAGCGTATATTCAAGAACCAGTTCTGGTTCCAAATTGCGCTACTGCTAAATATGACTGATAAAAAATACAACCATGCTTGACTGTCTCAGTCGTTGACAGTCGTAATAGTTGGCTTTTTGGGGGATGGCTAGGTCGGAAATTTGTTATTCCTGCAAGGATTATCGGCTCCTTACAGTCAACTGACAATCACGAGACCATTCGAAAAGGTATGAAACGTTGTTTGTCACCGGAAGTACTAAGGTCTCGCGAAGTGTCGTGACCTACTTACGGGCCCGATTAAAGTCTGTCACAAAGGCCCTACTCGTTAATCTAACCACGCCTTCCCATTAAGATGGTGTTTTTAATTCCGGTTTCGAATAACTTCAGACCCTGTGTGGTGTATTTGATTTAGATTTTTTGTTACTATTTTCAGGCAGTCAGGTGTTATTAAACACACCAATGTCGACAATTCATGACGGGACCTTCCTCATCCGTGCTATTGGTTGCATTTGGTTTTCAAATTTGTTATCATCTTAAAAAGTGTTATTTGTTTGCCTAAAAAAACTATTTTTCTTTCCTTTATTTTCCTTTCTCTCCATCTCTTTCACATTGCGTCCAGGGAGTCAACATTTTTTTGGTCTTTTTTCGTTTTTGTATTTTGTTTCTATTTTGTGTATTGCCTTGAGGAAAGCAATTTTAAGCAAAATTCTATCCAGGATATATCTTTCTTTGGTTTAGTTTGAAACCTGTTTTTCTTTGATTTTGTTTATTGTCAGTTTGAGGATCATTGTCTTGTAAGTACCTCCAGCGTTGGAGCGGCATACCCGCAATTGTCATGCGATGAACAGTTAATGTTAAGATTAAGATGAATATCATTATTATTACTTCGTAATGCTGTGACATTCAGGTACGCGGTATTTTTATCTTGTTATCTTTAACATATGTTATATTTTTTGGATTGCACTTTCTTAGTAATGGCACTAAAACAAAAATGACATTGTGTATTTGGTATTTTTATATTGTTTAATTGACTCTCTTGTGTTTGTATAAGATTGGTTACACTTATTGTCAGGACTTTGTTGTGGAATAAAGACAATTATCACTGTTACTTAATTACAGTTTTGTTGTTTGTTTTTGCTCACAATGGGCACATCGCTGTGCAGTGTTTCGCCCCTTAACGGTATCAGGATCCGCTACTTGTAAATGAAAATGATTCTTGGTAAATGAAAATGATTCTCACACCCGAGCTGAACTTACAATTATATTCATGGAGAATGGATCTCAGCAAAAAGAATTTATTCATATGAAATCAAATCCCGTCGTTTTAAAACTTTGCAGTTAAATTTTAATACGTAACACATTTATCCAGATATTTATTACTTACAATTGGATTGAACCACGTTATTAGGTTTGACCTCATTGAGTATAATATAACTGCATCGAGTAATCCGTAGTTCGAATCATGAACCTTCTGTCAGGATCACGAAGTTACTTTGTCTTTTACGAAAGACAGAGTCAACTTGTCAGTTCTTGTAATATCGGGGCAGTAGGGTAGCCTGGTGGGTAAAGCGTTCGCTAGTCACGCTGAAGACCCGGGTTCGATTCTCCACATGGTTACAATGTGTGAAGCCCATTTCTGGTGTCCACCGCCGTGATATTGTTGGAATATTGCTAAACACACTCACTCTAATAATATCCTTTCACATATATTCAACAATCAAAGGGATATTTCATTGTACGTAACTTGGAAATATGCTAAATCAAAATTGTTGTAAAACAAATATAACGCATCCAAGTTAGCAAGAGATAATTTATTAAAAATGACAGAACATCAATACCCCCTTTTTGAATGAAATCCTACCGCAAACCCTAAAAGATATATAATAGAAGTGAAAGAAACCCAATAAAAATAATTTCCCACAAAGTGTGAAATATAGTGGGGTTTATAAAATTGATAAGTATAAAATGTAACATTCCGCGCCAGTGTTTCAAGATATATACGACTTAAAACGAGTTCAAGACATAGGAACCCGTTATCGCTATGTACGTAAAACAGACCATAGCTCTACACACGTTTATATAGAGAGTATATACATGTGTGTAGACCTATGGTCTATGTTTGACCTACAGTGATAACGGGTTCCTGTGGATCAAGACCACGTTTTTGTTTAACATAAGTATATATTATCGGTCATACGATGATCATAGAAATAATCTGACAAAATAATTTCTTCTTTTGAATTGTAGATATTATTTCTGGTGGGGGTTACAAATCTTTTATCTTCACACAAACCGTACTTTTGTGTATATTCGTGAACAAATTATATTTAATATACAAAATTCAACCACTGATACCCTTCTTCTCATCTCCTCCATTTCTGTAATAGGTTGACTTGGTCCAATTGTTCACATGGCCTTCAGAAGGCACTGGGTATGCACTGGAGAACAGCTTGCCGCCAAACTTCACCTTTCGGACAGGCCTTCACGAAGGCATCCCCATACTGGTCGCATTGAATGAATTTGGTTTTGTCAGGATGGGGAAAATAAAACAGATCCTGTTTGTGAAGGTTCATCCTGCACGGGTTGTGAACGTTCTTGTCGACGGTCATCTGGTTTTGGTCAACAATGACATACTTGTAGGTGCAAGTGAGGATGCTCTGGTCCCAAGTCTTGCCGTTCTGGCAGGTCATGACATAGCCGACGTTCGGCATGATGGAGCAGTCAATGTACTTTGCATCGTCATTGGGGTAGGGGAAGAGCCGTCCCTTGGTTTCGTTAGTGCATGGATTGGTACTTGGGTGACTGCTCGGAAATACCGTAGATGATGTCGACGGTGTTGTAGTTGATGCAACGTTAGGATGAGCTCTGATTGTAGTTGTTGAACTTTCTGAAGGAGTTTTTGTTGTTATTGAGGATACAGATGATTTTGTCGAAGATTGAATGACTGGGCGTGTAGTCTTAGGTTTTCGGGAAGTTGATGTAGTAGCGGGAATAGAGGTCGGTGTTGTGGCTGCCCCAGTGGATGTTGATGGAAAGGTGGTGGTTTTCATTTTGGTAGTAACGGGTTGTGGAGGTGTACTTGGTGTAGTCGGTGGGTTAATTGTAGTGGTTGAAGCAGTTGTCGTTGTAGCAGTTGTAGATGTAAATGTCGTTGATGAGGATGTTGATGGAAAGGTAGTGGTTTTCATTTTGGTAGTAACGGGTTGTGGAGGTGTAGTCGGTGTAGTCGGTGGGTTAATTGTAGTGGTTGAAGCAGTTGTCGTTGTAGCAGTTGTAGATGTAAATGTCGTTGATGAGGATGTTGATGGAAAGGTAGTGGTTTTCATTTTGGTAGTAACGGGTTGTGGAGGTGTAGTCGCTGTAGTCCGTGGGTTAATTGTAGTGGTTGAAACAGTTGTCGGTGTAGCAGTAGTTGACGTAAATGTCGTTGATGTAGTATCAGGAATTGAGCTTGGTGTAGTGTGAGTTGATGGAAATGTGGTTTTCTTTATAGTTGTAGCTGGTTGAGAAGGTGTTGTAGTCTGTGCTGCAATTGTTGTGATGGGTGCCGGTGTCCTTGTAGTAGTAGACGTGGTAGTAGAGGGTTCACCGACGATGCAGTCCTTGATGTTCTGGTCGTAGATGTGATGTTGGGGACACTTGAAAACGTTGTCTGTTCCATCAACGCCACATATGATGAACTTTGTCTGATCTGTGGGATGACCTTTAAATCCTGGCTCACTCTTCCTGCAGGGATTCGTTATCTTGTCTGTAAAATAAAGACATGTCGTTACAAAACATAACACATGTCTATGACATCAAAGAAGTTTAATTACGCCCTTCTGAGGGGCAGGCCACAAAATACTGGGGAAATATTTTGCTTCTGGTTTCGTTGAATAAGCTAAGTTCCTGAAACATATGCATGTATATGCTGGATATCGTGAGACACATAAAGAAATGGCAAAATATATTTTGTTACTTGGAACCAAAAGTCAAGCCATATCTCACATCTTGCATGGTGACATCGGATTTTACACAGGACTTAAGCTAGGATAAGAAACAGATGGTGCTGATACTGACATGGAGGTTCCACTACCGTGAAGAAGTTACGGTAAAGGTCCACCACAGAACAAAGCCTGGTGACGTCACGGTGAACACAGAAAACCGGAGTGCCTGGAACAAAGACCAATCATATTAAAACCAATCAGAGAGCTGAAAGAATTAACCCCGGGCATCATTCGTTTTATCCGAATATTTCAGTGAGTGAGTGAGTGAGTTTAGTTTTACGCCGCACTCAACAATATTGTATATAAGCGAGTCTGGACCAGACAATCCAGTGATCAACAGCATGAGCATCGATCCGCACAATTGGGAACCGATGACATGTGTCAACCAAGTCAGCGAGCCTGACCACCCGATCCTGTTAGTCGCCTCTTACGACAAGCATCGGTTGCTGAAGATCAATTCTAACCCGGACCATCACGGATCCCGAAATATTTTAGGCAAATGACAAATTACTGTATACCACATCCACGAGTGGACCTAGACGACGCTTGCCATACCTTTGACACGCCAGGGTGTTTTTGTTTGTATGTTTGTTTGTTTGTTATATTAACGCCGCACTCAGGCATATTCCAGCTATTTGGCGGCAGTAGATATTCGAGTCTGGACCAGATAATCCATTAATTGACATCGTGAGCATAGTTCTACGCAAATGGGAAATGATGACATGTGCCAACCAAGTCAGCGAGCCTGACTACCCCATCCCGTCAGTCGCCTGTTACGACAAGCGTGGGTTACTGAAGATCAATTGTAACACGGATCTTCACACGCCCAAAAATACTAATACTACTGATTCTCATTTGGAGCCTCCAAATAGTCAGTACTTCATAATGGCATTTGTTTTGTTTCAAATCTAACCATAATCAAACATGGATGTTTCACCTCCTTTCGATCGGCAGTTTACTTTAAACAGAACACCTACTTAAATTAACTCTTTCAACGTTGCCTATGTCGATGGTGTAGTTGCCACTGCAGCTGTTGACGCGTCCAGACGCGGTGATGTTGAGGTACAGGGGTCTGTGCACCGCGTTCATCAGTAGCGTGGATGCTGTGGCTGGGGTGGAGATACTGGTGAAGACACAAATTGGTGACGTTTGAAGCTGTTCATGGCGTTATCAACAACGTCAAGTGAGTGAGTGAGTGAATGTTGATTTACACTACCGTAGTGCATCTATAAAACGACGCTTGCAAATTGTGGGTCAGGTAAACAGGTGGTTGATAGCATGAGTGCTGGTCACCGGTCATACACGTTGCGGGTCGGTGGGGTAGCCTAGTGGTTAAAGCGTTCGCTCGTCGCGCTGAAGACCCGCGTTCGATTCTCCACGTGGGTACAATATGTGAAGTCCCTGTTACGGTGTCCCCCTCCCGTGATATTGCTTGAATATTGCTAAAAACTAAATTCACTCATGCATACATTGTAGCCAACGGATCCTCATTTGGCTCTAATGACTTGTAAGACGTGACTCAGTAGTAGAGGATAGTGTGGATCTTCTACCAGTGTGGGCATTGAATCTTAGATCTGTTGATGGGTTAAAGATCAATTTGCTGGAGTAATTATTTCCGTACTCAGAATCCATAAAAATAGCATATTCACATAGATCACATGCTATGATATTAGGGTAAATAACGATTTTGAAATTTGAAGCGTCCTCTGTGTAAACATCTTATCATTAACCTATCATGTAAAGAGTTGTTTTAATGAGACGAGCTAACGCTAACCCCACCCACTACTCCTACACCTCCCCATCCTACCCCTCTCTCTCTTCCCTATTTTTATATTACTGTGTACTGTGTAGCCTAATGGTTAAAGCGTCCGCTAGTCACTCTGATGATCAGGGTTCGATTCCCTCACATTTCTGGTGTCTATACTGCTAGAGTATTGCTAAGATCATACTCAATCACTCACTCTTGCAGAAGAAGAAACTCTCCTACCTGAAGAAGTCATGGCCGGCCTTGTTAGGAGTCGCGTTGATCACAGATCCGTACACACTGACCGCACCGTCAGTAACAGCAATCTAGGATTACAGCAGAAACATTACTGGCAGATCTCTGATGGCGTGTGCAATGTATACTGTCGACTTCAAGGCAAGGCAACTAAAGATGTGAATGTAGTTATTATGTACATTCACAATGCCGTGGCGTTGCATCTTAACTCATCCTATAATCACATCAGCACGTGCACACTGAAAGCAAAGGTCACTCAAAGATATTATTGCTATAAGTACACGCTATACACGCCATATTGCTATAAATTCACCCGAGACAGTATATCAATGAAAAGACAAAATTGTTGGTACGATAGAGAGGAGAATGCCAAGACCACAAGTTGTCCTAACGTTTTGCAAATCAAAAAGTGTAATTTCTGAGGAACCAGTGCTGTCAAATGGTGCAATGTGAAAGAAAACGACAACTACACAAGAGCGTGTCACCACAAGATTTCACTGTGCATTAGTTTCAGATCTTTTCCTGTTATCAATAGAGGGTTCCGTAAAATAACAAGGAGACGAATTTCAATATCTACCTTTCAAAAAGTATCTATGGACCCTCCTGGCCCGAACAGATTACACAAGCTGCACAGACTGGGATAGGCAACACCGAAGACGGAAGGTGGAACGTCCATGTTGTTGCGTATGGTTACAGACGATCATAAAGGTTCTTAACTCCGATACCGCAATATTTACTTGTAAGATGACAAGTTTTTAATTGCAAGATGACAAGTTTTTAATTGTAAGATGACAATTTTTTAATTGTAAGATGACAATTTTTTAATTACAAGATGACGTTTTTTTAATTGCAAGATGACAAATTTTTAATTGCAAGATGATAAGTTTTTAATTGTAAGATGACAATTTATTAATTGCAAGATGACATTGTGCTCAGGTGGTTACCGAGTTTCTCCGACGAGAAGGAGTACGGGATCGGACTGACCCGCTAAGTAACCTTATATATAACCGTATAGCGTTAGTTGCATTCTTTTTTGTGTGCATACGGGCGGTGGGGTGGCCTGGTGGTTTTAGCGTTCCTCATCACGCCGAAGGCGATAAGGTTCAATTGTTCTCATGAGTACAACGATCTCGACCTCTTGTACCTCATTTCCTAACCCATCGTTCCTAATACCTGCAATATTGCCGATGCGGTGTTAAGCAAAATACACCCACTCACTTGTTTTCGTACCATTCTAACCTAGGTTCCGTCTACCCCTTTCACCACCCCATCAAACGATGTAGATGAAGGAGTTCTAGTGACGTCAGCTTACCTTCACCTGTGCTGTGGAGCCATTTGTTTCAATCTGGTAGAGCCCACTGTTCAAGCAGGAGTAGACATGTCGGCCGCGAGTCAGGACAGCTGGGGCTAGAAATAAAAAGAGGCCCTGTTCATTGCAGTTACATCTGTCTGACATACATCGGATCTTCACCAGTCAGTCATTACGTTCATTGAATGGACACGAGGATACTTCACAACTTAGCCTCAAGCTTAACTAGGCGTTTGATTTGACGGACTTACAACACATAGAGTCACTGGATGGCATTTAGAAGTGATACCCATAAAGCAAGAATATATGGACGTCAACTTCTTTATTTTGAGGAAGTATATTCTTGTTCCTTCCTCACCTGAATAAACTCCGAAATGTCGTGTTTCTCAATATAAAGAAGCTGACATAATATCTTTATTCCAACAAAGCTTCAAGAAACACTTGTGAGGGCGACTCATGTCTTCATCCGACCCCAGCCAGGATTCACACTGACCAGTAGCCGTGCCTCTTTGCATTGTATATTTAGGATGCAATACATTTTCTTTCATCTAAAAAATCATCTAAGCAAGGACCAACAAGGAAATAGGTAGACCAAGTGCAACAGTGCCAAACTGTTTTACTCCAATTTACACAACTTTTTTACAGAAACATTTTTGTACACTCTTTCACGGAACAATGACATTCCCCCAAAATGTGACATTTCGTAGACGGTTTGTATTTTCAAATCTAGAATATTAAATGGTCAGTCTATGTGATGTTACCTGGATTGGTTGACACATGTCATCGTATCCCAGTTGCGTAGGTTGATGCTTATGCTGTTGATCACTGGATTGTCAGGTGCAGACTCGACTATTTACAGACGTCCGCCATATAGCTGGAATATTGCTGAGTGCGGCGTTAACCAACAAACCAACCAATTATGCCATGTTACATTGTAATAATGCAATCATTGAAGCTGAGCACACTCACCCTTACACGAAACCTCCTGGATTTCCCCTACGAGTGAACTCAGATCTCCGTACCCTGCAAGGGTCACCACATGGGTACACTGGGGCTTGTTGGCCAGGTTTCTCAGTTCTTCCGTGTCCACATCAGAACCTACTCCAATGGCGAAAACAGTAATTCCTTTGTTTCTGGTGCGTATTGCCGCAGGAAGAGTCTTCTTAGGAACTGTTGATTTTCCGTCGGTAACCAGCAGAATCACCTTTGAGCTCCCCACTCTGGAACCCGAAGAGTTCGTAAACAATGTTCCCGAAGCGTAGTCCAGAGCTTGGTCTGTGTCCGTGTGTCCTTCTGACTTGAGGACTTGGTCAATGGCTTTGTGGACGTCATCGTTGTTCGTGTATTGGTTGAAGTCAAACTGAGATTTGTATCCACTGCTGAAGGTTACGAACGCAATTCGGACATCATTTCGACCAATCTTGAAGTTTTTCACAACATTCTGCGCAAACCGTTTGGCCTCCCTGAAATCCTCTGGAGCAAGACTTGAAGAGGCATCAACGAGAAAGGCTAAATCCAGGTTTGTTCGTTGGCAGACTGAAAGTAATAGAAACATACTACTCAAAAGACGTTATGCACCATGATAATCTAACTGTAGTGATCTGAATCTTTAGGGGACCGCCTCCGTGGTGTAGTGGTTAGAGTGTACGCCCGGAGAGCGGAAGGTCGCGGGTTCGATCCCCGACCGCGTCATACCAAAAGACGTTAAAATATGGTACTTGTTGGTCCCCGCCTGGCGCTCGGCATTAATGGGTACAACAAGGACTGGTCGGCTCGGAGTCAGTATAATGTGTCTGAGTGGGGTATTCATGCTTCACTGCGGCATGGTATCTCAGTGGGCTAGCACTATAAAACCAGCTTCAGTCTGGGCTAGTACAAGCAGCTGCACATACACATACACACGCATGCACGTCGTCATATGAGCGAAATATTCTCAAGCACGACGTTAAACCCACTTTCACCTCACCTCATCTTTAGGGTAGTTTATATGACTTGTAAGTATTCTTCATGATTTTATACTGATCACCGGTTCGCTTAGTCAGACTCGAACTCATACACAAGACTCTAGATGTCTTTATCATCCTCACTGGAAGTGGGTGGACGTCTTGGATATCATTTTATTTCCCTGCTTCTAATCTACTGGATACATTTTCACCAATGAGAAACATTTATTGAAATTAATTCTGGTAACAATTCTTCCTCAGACATGCCCGGCCATGTGTTGCCACAGAAAAGTATCTTAATTCAACACTTGTTCAAGTGAAGAAATCGCGCCCTCAAAATCCAACAAATGGAATTGGTCTTCAGCAAACCCATGCTTGTCGTAAGAGGTGACCTACGTGATCCGGTGGCCAGGCTTGCTGACTGACGTGGTTGACACATGAGGTGACCTACGTGATCCGGTGGCCAGGCTTGCTGACGTGGTTGACACATGTCATCGTATCCTAGCTGCGTTGAGCGATACTCATGATGCAAGTGGCTGTCCGGTCCAGACTCGATTATTTACAAACAAAAGTACTTCAGCTGGAATGTTGCCATGTGATACGTTACGAACAAACAAACAAAGAAACAAACCTATGTCAAGACGTTTGGATCCTTCTGAAAAATCGTGCATCGATTGATTGTCATTGCGGAAGTGTCTGAAGTAGAAGGTAGCCTGGTCTTGTGTTCCTTGTGGGATGTCTTCAGTCAAGGAGGCAAGGTACAGAGCAGCAGCAAGGCCCGAGAACATTGGCTGCCTCAGGTCTTCCCACCTGGTTATGCTCCAGTCGATGCCAAATACGTATTTTATCTTAGGAAGCAGCGCACCAGCCTTGCTGGATGCCTTGGTGAGGTTAAACTTGCTTTCATCAACCTGTGCGACGAAGAGATAGTTGATGTTACGCAGAAATGGATAGGTGATATTGTGTGCATGTATAATAAGAAAGATAGTGAGAGTAGCTGATGTTACGCAGACTTGGATAGGTGATATTGTGTGCATGTATAATAAGAAAGATAGTGAGAGTAGCTGAAAATGTAATTGGATAGGTGAGATTACATGCCTGTATAATGGAGAAAACAGTTGATGTTACATAAATGTATAAGAATGATAGTGAGAGTACGTGTATATAAAATTGGATAGGTGAGCTTACATTTTCTATAATGGAAGAAACAGTTGATTGTACATGCAAGTACACTCTTTAAATAAAGAAACGCATAGGTGATTTTGCGAACATTGTAGCTGCGACAAAAACAATACAAATATATAATTTCTTTCCTAAACGTCATATATGTGTGATTGTAAACAGCTTCAGCACCAAATGGCGCGACAATTTTAACTCTTTCCCTTGTTTAGAAGCGTGTGAAGAAATATTCACCAATACGTCACCAAGGAAACATGCAAAGCAAAATGCACGCCCAAGTAAGCGGAAAAGCATGCGGTATTTTCACTATAAACGTTGTGTTTAATTTGCCATTCGTTTTTTACTGGAAAAGAGGAAATCATTATACCACGACTGGGTGCCGCCAATCAAAACGCCACCATAGGTCGCCTTGAAGCCGGGGAGTCGCAGTCTGCAGTTGTCCGACATTTCAACGTTCATCAGAGCACCATATCTCGCCTTTGGGGTCGTTTCCTGCCCAATTCCGCCTAAAATCGCCCGAGAAGCGGCCGTCCAAGAGTTACCACCCAAGCCCAGGGCCGCTACATCCGGGTTGTTCACTTGCGTCATCGTCTTGCCACAGCCGTGGAGACTGCCAAACGCATCCCTGGTTTGAGAAGAATTTCCTTCCAAACTGTCAGGAGTCGATTGCGTGAAGAGGGGATTCGACCAAGAAGGCTAGTTGTCGCCCCTGTTTTGAGAGCTTTCCATCGTCGCAATCGTTTGCGGTGGTGTCGTAGAGTCCGGAACTGGAACCTTACAAACAGGAGGCGAGTCTGGTTCAGTGATGAATCACGATTTCGTCTTCACAAGCGAGATGGAAGACAGCGTGTTTACCGTCGGAAAAATGAACGTTTTGCCCCTAATTGCATTCGACAGGTCGACAGATTCGGTGGAGAGAGTCTCATGATGTGGGCTGCGATATCCAGCACACAGAGAGTTAGTGGTGCTGTAGTGGAATTTGACAGCAAATCGCTACATCAACGAAGTCCTCGCACGTCACATGCTTCCGATTATGGACCGACAGAGGGAGTTGTTCCAGCATGACAACGCTACTTTAAACGCAGCACGTGTCACGGTCCGCTACCTTGCCAATTCTAACGTCAATGTCTTGCCATGACCTTCCCGATCACCAGATCTAAACCCGATAGAACACTTATGGGATGAACTCGATCGACGTGTACGTCAACGTCAAAACACGTATCAGACACTTCCACAACTGGCCATCGCATTGCAGGAAGAGTGGGGAAGAATTCCACAAGAGCGACTTCGTCGACTTATCCAGTCTGTGCCGAGACGGTGCCGAGCAGTAATTGCTGCCAATGGTGTCCATACAACGTACTGACTTTGACGCCATCTTGTGGACTCAAATAAAGAGAAACATAACAATAAAGGCTGATGTTGTGTTCGCGAACTCTTTGTCTATACACGTGTGAAAATACGAGACAGAATTGCTCTTTAACGCAATAAAAATGGCTTTTTTGAAGAGTGTATAATGAGAACGATAGTGAGAGCACCTGCATAAAAACTGGACAGGTGAGGTTACATGCTTGTATGATAAGCATTGAATAGGCGAGGTATTATTCAGGAAATAGGTGATGTTAAATGAATGTATATTTGAGGAAATAGGAGATGTTACATGAATGTATATTTGAGGAAATAGGTGATGTTACATGAATGTATATTTGAGGAAATAGGTGATGTTACATGAATGTATATTTGAGGAAATAGGTGATGTTACATGAATGTATATTTGAGGAAATAGGTGATGTTACATGAATGTATATTTGAGGAAATAGGTGATGTTACATGAATGTATATTTGAGGAAATAGGTGATGTTACATGAATGTATATTTGAGGAAATAGGTGATGTTACATGAATGTATATTTGAGGAAATAGGTGATGTTACATGAATGTATATTTGAGGAAATAGGTGATGTTACATGAATATATATTTGAGGAAATAGGTGATGTTACATGAATGTATATTTGAGGAAATAGGTGATGTTACATGCTTTTATTATTTGAATATAATTTCGGAAGAACAATCTGGGTGTACACATGGCTACCCAACCACGGATAGCATCTTTATATTTAATGCGATTAATGATAAAGGCACTCAGAGCAAACTCCAAAACTTTGATTGGAGTACAAAATGGATAAATTCACCGAAGATCAGTACTAACATTGATGTGTGAACTGTAGACTGGAATGTAGAGTACGCTCAACGCAGTTTCCCCAGTGTACAATTATAACGTTTAACGTTTACACATGTAAATCAAATACTTTATGATTGCTGTTTAATGGTTACATAAGTTTAACAATGTTAGTCAAGTTGTGGTCAAATTCAATTTTTCCATTATATTTATTATTTTGTGCTGTCTTTTAGTATTGTATCCTTGTGTGAGCCAGTAGCCCCACGAACAAAAATATAGGAAATGAAAACATAGAGTGATCCTTTAAAAATCTAATCGAGGTAAAAAGTGAACTTCACCCTCCCTTCCATTAATTAATGCGACCTTAAATATGTTGCCATTTATTTATGTATGAGTGAATGAGTCTAGTTTTACGCCGTGTTTATCAATCGTATAGCGCTATGACGGCGGGGGACACCAGAAATGGGTTTCACGCATTGTAATTTCTAGTGAGTGAGTGAGTGAGTAAGTGAGTGAGTTTAGTTTTATAATTACGCCGCTTTTAGCAATATTCCAGCAATATCACGTCGGGGAACACCAACAATGGGCTCATGTGGGGAATCGAACGTGACGTGCGAACGCTTTAACCACTAGGCTCCCCCACCGCCCCTGTAATTTAAAACATTATTGGTACAAAACCCGTTAGAGCGCACTTCAAAAACATTTAACACGATCCAACACTCACCTGCCAAATTCCCCCATCATACCCAGGTCTGTAGGTCTTAGGGTCGGTCCCATCATGCGTTTCCACATAGGCCAGTCGTCTGAGAAACAGCTTGTCGTGAGAAAAAGTACACGATTCCCGGATCCTGCTCACCACAGCTTCTACAACCTCTTCCCCAGATGCTCCTGGAACTCGAGTCTGATCCTGGCCCAAGGCCACCCCAAGCAGGAACACCGAAATAACGAACACTGGTATCATATGTACTTCACACAGGGAACAAGTAATAAGTAAAGATGCTTGAGAGCGACAATACAACAGGAACCTTGATAAAACAATACTAAAGCTGAAGACGTTTACCCAGCAACGTCGCGATGGGAAATTGACGTAAGATAAGTAGTTCTCTTTCAGGAAAGACGTTATGACTAAGAAGTGACTCTAAGGACATCCAGATGCCAATAACACCGGGAAGCTGGTCTTGGGATAGTTCTGAGTGGGCGCAACCAAGGTAACCGGGGTGTTTGAACCAGGGAGACTCTATAAGGGGAGTGGTCACTCCTCGGAAAGCTCTAAGCTATGCCTCGGCTCGTCACGTGACCAGTGTAGCCAATATGGCGGCAGCGTAGTTTTTAAGATTGAGCCCGGTTTATTTTCAACAGCTGATTACATACGCTGAGTGTTGTGACAACTGAAAACCTACATGTAGAAGATAAGTTACCTATTCTGTCACTTCATTTCAAGTCAAATAATTGTTATTAGTGTCAGTATAAGTACAGTAGCTTTGTAGTAAAGTTTCAAGTGGGCATGTTGTAGCTCACTGGCTTCAATTCTCAGTACACAGCGAAGAAAGACTAAATTATATCGCTAAAAACTTCTTTCACATATTCGTTTAATTTTTAGAAGGGAAATATACCTTTAGTTGAAAGGTGTTTGCAAGTAATAGTGATAGTTTTATAACTAAAAAAAATTTGTTAGGGTGTATTTGAGGTGTGTGAAAAATATGACATATCGCCGATCTGCCATTGAAATACTACAGGGCGTTGTTTGAGTGTTTCTAGTTAGTGTTCAAAAACATCTTTCACATACACCTTCAATTTTTATGAGGGGAATATACCATCAGGTGAAAGGTGTTTGCAAGTAATAGTAATAGTTTTATAATTTAAAAAAATTGTTAGTGTGTATTTGAGGTGTGTGAAAAATATGACATATCGCCGATCTGCCATTGAAATACTACAGGGCGTTGTTTGAGTGTTTCTAGTTAGTGTTCAAAAACATCTTTCACATACACCTTCAATTTTTATGAGGGGAATATACCATCAGGTGAAAGGTGTTTGCAAGTAATAGTGATAGTTTTATAATTTAAAAAAATTGTTAGTGTGTATTTGAGGTGTGTGAAAAATATGACATATCGCCGATCTGCCATTGAAATACTACAGGGCGTTGTTTGAGTGTTTCTAGTTATTGTTCTAAAACATCTTTCACATACACCTTCAATTTTTATGAGGGGAATATACCATCAGGTGAAAGGTTTTTGCAAGTAACATTGATACTTTTTTTTTTTTTGTTTTGTTAGTGTGTATTTGAGGTGTGTGAAAATATGACATATCGCCATTGGTGCTTGTGATGCTTGAGTGTTATAGTTCTAAAACTTCTTTCTTTCTTGTTGATCTTAGTATTTGACAAAACTGGAAAGGTGTTTACAACGCTTTGTGATAGTTCTAAACTTTCTGTTCTTGAGGGGTCTGTGACAGTGTCAGTTAACATTCTGTCAATGCCCATGTCATTCCACACATGCAATAAGATATCTGAATTAGTTACTAATGTAAAAACATGTCTCAAAGTAATTTTTTTTTGAAAAAGGACAGCTGATGTTAACATTTGTGTTCTACCGATAGTTTTGCGTTCTTTAACATGTTTGGGGAGGGATGGCCGTGGTGTATCATTTATTCTTTCATTCATTCACATATGTTCTTTTTCTTTTGTTCTTTTTCTTAATTTCTTTCATTCATTCACATAAAATTCTTGCTCTTAATTCATTCATTCATTCATTCATTCATTCATTCATTCATTCATTCATTGTAAAATTCCGACTGATACAATACACTGGCTGAAGTACTGTTAAACGCAGCCGAAGTTGCGCTGGGACCGAACCAAGTCACTGTGTGCGTTGGAGCATGACGAGGCACACGTTAATTAGTACAAATGGTAAAGAAAGCAAGCGAGTGACCTATCCCTGTTGTAGAGTATCCCTGGTTGTAATAAAGTATCCCAGCAGTGTAGGCTTTTTCAGATTTTCAAATGTTTGGATGGTATAGTGACTGATCCAATTTGATCCTATTTCTGTGTATTTTACCTCAATATTTAATCATGTAAAAATATAATGTCTGTTACGTATGCTATGATATCAAAAACACACATTTGATATATTTGAATCCATAAACTAAACAACCCCACTTTGCCATTGCAAAATAATTATACTTAGGTACATAGGTATATACAGTTTTAACTAAGTTCACAGCAAATGCTTATATATATTTCTTATATAACAATGAAGTTCCGTTCGTATCCTCAAAACAGTGTCTGCCCAAAAGGTTTTTTTCAGGTCAAACTCAATCAAATTTGCATGCAATACAGCGATTACTACTCTCTTGCTGTAACCCTTGTTTGGTGGTAAACCTACACATTATTTGTCATCATTCACTTGATGGTCATTTCTTTGATTGACATTCTAGAAGTTGGGTAGATGAAGGATGAGGAATATTTTATGGAGTGATGATAGGCCTCAGTAAGAAACAAAGACTCTAAATCCGCCATAGCTGACCACCTTAAAGCCAATCCAAACCACAACATCAGTTGGAACACCACCAAGATCATCGAGAGGAACAAAACTGACTTCAAAACCCGCAAACTACTTGAAGCTGTCCATATTAAGAAGATTACCCCATCTATCAACAGAGATGAAGGATATTTCATCCCCAAGGCCTATCATCATTTGCTGAATTAATTTTCATGTAACCCTACCATTGTACATTATCCCTTGTGTCCATCACTACCGGCTTCCCAACAGTACCTAATCACTTATGTATACACCTATGTACATCACCCCCTACTGGCTGCCAATCAACATCCTTAATCCCTTATGTATACAACCATGTACTTCCATCACTGGCTTCCATCAACCTACTTAATCCTGTATACTATCTGTGTTATCAACCTCTTCTATTGTATAAACAACTCATGTTCGCCTCATCCTTCATCTATTGTCCAAACATCTCATGTATATATATCACCCAAAATTACTTCTCATGTATCACTGACTTGACAACGACATTAGAATCTATGTCGAAACGTCGCCTATACAGAATAAAGAAGTTGTATCACTATAAAAATAGTCCTCATACTTGATGGTCAGTTAATGAATTTATAACAAGTATAATTTGTGATAACACCACTCAGATTACCCGACAAAGGTTCCCATTTGGCATTTCTTGTGTCTGGAGTAAATACTCCTCATTATAACTTGAGGTCTGATGTGGCAAATAAATGTATTACATCTTATGTAATATGCGCATGGAGGTGCAGTAAGAGGAATTATCACATGAGTTACAAAACAAACATCGATCAAAGGATTAACTGATAACACGCTGATTGATTAATTGCTTTTATCCTGCACAGCGGATTTGTCAAAAGGTAGTGTTTATGTATGTATATTTACTAATCTATACTGAATACACCCTGTCGTAAAGTCTCTTTGTAAAAACAACGTCCTTCCTTCAAAGGTTAAACCGCCAATACATTGATTGATTGCTCATTATTGGCTAACTAAATTACTTTTTTTTAAAGAATGGCGGACATCATGCAATTTGTTGCCAGGTGTGCTTTCTTGGGTGACCAATGGGACTATACACCAATGTGAAAAACCTGAAACGATAAATCACTTTTTCGCATATTAGACTGTTAAAAGACACATGACATGGAACAGGATACTTTGTCAGCTGCAGATGAATGGCATCTCATTCCATTATGTGGATATTGATGGATATATTTCCTCGAACAAGGTAGTAGCCTGATATTGTTGTTATAACTTTAGTCTGTTTTAATTTTAATATTGGCATTTTGTTTATATTTATTTGTTATGGCATTCAACAGAATCATTTTTGTGCCGTGAAGTGTAATGAGACCGACAACATACACTAGGTTGCACTCAGGGCGTGTGTGTAAAATATGATACACGTTGGCAATCTATAAAATGTCTAGATATTACTCACTAAGTATAAGCAGATCGAGCGCATTTTATTAAGTTTCAAAATGCATACAAATATGATAATAAACTAATTAGGATTATAAGACAAAATATAAAGACGTACATTGACTTCGTTATTTCAGTCCTAACATCTTTTACCACTGGCAGATGGTTAAACTTAAAATGTTTTCATTTGTTATCAAAATAACGCCATTTAATACAACATTCAGATTGACTAGTAGTGAACCCAAGCTCACTACTCTCCCCAAGACTCTCCATGTACTTAGGTAGCCTTACTTTCAAAACAATGCTATTGTATCAGGCTTCTCACCAAATTCAAGGTCAAACTATTTCTTAAATCAAACTCTACATCCATTTACGTTAACATTTATATGAAGTCAATATTACTATGAAATCAAAATGTTACATCAAAATTAGCATTTTTATCAAAGTGAATATTTTTTTATAAGAAACCAAATTATTCATCAAAGTCTATATAATTTTACAACAAATCCATGAAATGACCTCTCATGGTGACTTCGCACAAAAAAACACATGCACATGGCAGTTAATGTAGGGTGTATAAAAGCCCATGTGCTTTCGTAAGATTATCGAGTAAAAAAATGTTCACATTTCATCTTTGTTGATCAGTCTATACTTATATTATCAATTGGGCATGAGGGTGGCGCAGCAGAGGTAACGAACCAGTCATGAACCAGTGCGAATGTAGCCACTTACTTCAGTCAACTGTTCTAAACTAGATTTTGCTAAACATTCCATACTGTTAAAGGCACTGTTTACACAAGAGTGAGTGAGTGAGTTTAGTCTTACGCCGCTTTTAGCAATATTCCAGCAATATCACAGCGGGGGACACCAGAAATGGGCTTCACACAATGTGCTCATGTTGGGAAGCGAACCCGGGTCTTCGGCGTGACGAGCGAACGCATTAACCACTAGGCTACCCCACCGATCCGTTTACACATGAACTGATGTATTGTAAAACAAATTCGTAACGTTCAATAAATCATGAATTGTCGAATTCGTAACAAAACGTTACACCAAAACACAGCTGTTCACTTAGTTCACATAAAGTTGCACATGGTTCCCCTATAAGTTAGTGGAGAAATTAATCTCCGATGTAACCGTATATATATACATATCATATAGTGAGTGCTTTAAGTGAGTCGCTGAGTGCGGCGTAAAACTAAACGTACTCACTCTCTCTCTTTAAGTGAGTCTAAACTTTTGAAGGGTATTCTATATCCCGGTAATACCAAATATCATTTGGTATCTGAGATTTTGGTCAGTTATCACACTTAAACCGTGGGCAGACTGACCACTTAGTTACATACCACCGCTATCTACAGCAAACAGGTTGTTCCAACTGATATCTTTGTTGAATTAAAAGATCGATTGACTAATTGTGATTACAGAGTAATGTCCCTTTGTATGCATGTACTGCTTCCCTAAAGTATTCATACAGCGCACCATTTGCTCTGATAACACTTTGGCTAACACTATCTACATTTGATAATACGTCAATAGAATTACGCTTAACACGCTTGGTCTATTATCTATATTCTGCTGTTGAAATTAAAAGTATTTGACTGTATCAGTCCGTATTGAAAAAAATAATTATTGCGAATATGAAAATTTATTCCGGGATTACTGCGCCAATGACAGATTAGTGCTCCAGAAAGCGAGGCTTCCAGATTATCCGGTTCCGGAATATCGAGATCACATTGAGTGAATGAGTGAGTATGGTTTTACGCCGCTTTTAGCAATATTCCAGCAATATCACGGCTGGGGACACCAGAAATGGGCTTCATATAATGTACCCACGAGGGGAATCGAACCCGGGTCTTCGGTGCGATGAGCGGACGCTTTAACCACTAAGGCTACCCCACCGCCCCGAGGTTATATTGAACATGAACATACAGACAGTAGTGTACGAGGATTTACACAGATTCAAACCGCTTGCCTGGAAACACCACGCCGGGACTGCCAGTCCGTATACTGAAGAGCAAAACAAACTACACGTCTCAACTGATTTTATTATATGCATCATCAATTGAAAATTGAGGATATAATGTCCAAACAAACTCAGCATGTCGGCATAAGTCATCATTAAAAATAGTGCATAATGTTATTTGTTTTTATTTGATACAATTTATGACTTAATTAAGTGAAAACAAATTGCATGACCCACAGCTTTTGATTGGTATCTTACCATACAGGACCAAACCAATAAATTTGCCTTCATCAGCACAAATTAAAACCGGTTTCCAAACTTAAAATTCGGTCGTAGTTGCACATTTGTTTCCGGTGTTCACTTAAAAAGGAATTTTGATCAGCTACAGCTTAGATTTTACAAACCGTCAGAGCCCCCTCCCCCCGCGCCCCTTTTATAAACTATAATCAAAGTATTTTATGCGATGTATTAACAAATGTGTATATTTTATAATTGTGACGACAAGGAAAGTACCTCGGGATAACGGGATTTTATAGTAAATACGTTAACCAATTATTAATCCTTCAGGAATGCACAAGAGAACCTCCTCGTGCCAAAACTCATTCTCAGGACAAGTTTTTCAAAAGCATTTCCGTACTGGTCACAGTGAATGTACTTCTGTCTGTCGGTAGGGTGAGGAAAGAAAAACAGCGATCCCGTGTTCAGATGGGGTCGGCAGGGGCTGGGAATCGCCCTATCAAAGATCAGGGCAGTCTGGTTGATGATCACATATTTGAACCTGCACGTCAAATCCAGTTCGTCCCATACCTTCTCAGCGTCACACTTTTTGATAAACCCAACATTTGGAAAGACGGAGCAGTCTATATATTTCGTTTCGTCAGGAGGGTAAGCAAAAAGGAAAAGACCCGCTGCAAGATGTTCCCTGGTGCATGGGTTGCCTGGAAGGAAGGTTGTAGGGTAGAAAGTGCTGTCTTCAGTAGTTGTGGTTGTAGGCGTTGTTGTAGATGGGGTTGTGGTGGTTGTTGTAGTTGAGGTTGTTGTTGATGTTGTTGTTGTTGTTGTGGTGGTGGTGGTAGTTGTTGATGGCTCTCCAAGGATGCAGTTCATGGTGACGACGTTGTAGACGTGGTGGGGTGGACACTGGAAAACGAAGCCGGTTCCGTTGATGCTGCAGAAGATGAACTTTGTCTGGTCCAGGGGATGCGGCTTGTTTGTGGGGAACCCTGGCTTGCAAGGATTGAGGATGCTGTCTGCAAACACAACAGTACATGTGTCTATATTATTCTCACCTAATCCATTTAACAGTATTAGACCGGCAGACAGTCAGACATGTTACGCGACTTCTTAACACAAAGACGCCGGTCAGCTTCACAGGTTTATTCCAGGACTAGTTGCATAGAAAAAGCACATGGACAGGAGGTAGTAACCAGTAGCTTTAAAGGTCACATAAACCCTAGGGGGTACAAATACATAAATCACTAACTGGCATCGTTATAAATGAAACCCCGTCATTAAAACTACTCATTTCGACCTTTAATTGACTTAAATCGACCTTTTTGACAACAGTGCACAATTCTCACCCGCGAACGAAATTTCAACCAATCAGAGCGGCGCGCCTCTGTGACGTCATATGAGGAATAGCTTTGAGAGCCGATGCAGAATTCATCTACATTTTAGGGGGTAAATTATCGTGTTTACAGGCTTGTATAAACCTGAAATCGTGACAATTGTTGTGGAAAATGAAAGCTATATGTTCTCACAATCTACTGGCATTTAATTTTGTCTCCTGCTTTGCCTAGTTTCCGAGTTACAACTTGTTTTCATAGACGATTCTGTCAAAATCGATTGGTGTCGTTAGGCCCCATTTGTATAATGACTGATCCAAATTGATCCCATTTCTGTGTTGTTTTTACCTCGATATTTAATCATGTCATGTAAAATCTGTTTGTATTCTCAAAACAGTGTCGGCCCATAAGTTTTCACATGCAATACAGCAATTAATACTCCCTCGTTGTAACCCGTGTTAGGTGGTATAAACCTACACATGTTATTTGTCATCATTCACTTGATGGTCAGTTAATGAATTTATAACAGGTATAATTAGTGGTAACACACTTAGATTACCCGACAAAGGTTCCCATTTGGCATTTCTTGTGTCTGGAGTAAATATTCAACATTATAAACATCGATCAAAGGATTAACCGATAACACGCTGATTGATTAATTACTTTTATCTTACACAGCGGATTTGTCAAAAGGTAGTGTTTATGTATGTAGATTTACTAATCTATACTGAATACACTCTGTCGTGTCGGTATCTGCGTAAAAACAACGTCCTTCTTTCAAAGGATTAACCAGCAATACATTGATTGATTGCCCATTATTGGCTAACTAAATTACTGTTTTTAAAGAAAGGCGGACATTATGCAATTAGTTGCCAGGTGTGCTATCTTGGGTGACCAATGAGACTATACACCAATACCTGAAAAGATTTATCACTTTTCGTATATTAAACTGTTAAAAGACACATCATTTGGAACAGTTTTGTGGATATTGATGGATACATTCCTCGAACAAGGTAATGGCCTGATATTGTTCCTATAACTTTAATCTGTTTTAATTTTAATATTTGCATTTTGTTTTTATTCATTTGTCGTAGCATTCAACAGAATCATTGTTTTCGCCGTGAAGTGTAATGAGACAGACAACATGCACTAGGGTGTGTGTGCGAATTATGATTCACATTGGCAAACTATAAAATGTCTAGATATTACAGTTCTGTTATAAATTCACTATAAGTATCAGCAGATCGTCTTCTTTTTATTTAGTTTCAAAATGCATAAAAGTATGATAATAAACTAATTAGGATTATAAGACCAAATATAAAGACGCACATTGACTAGTATCTACATACTGGTGAGTGGACATTAACCATGGGGAATGTAGCAAGAAATGTATCGCGCAGTATTGTGACTTCGACCCCCACCTCGCTTCCGTGGAAGAAATCGTTATGTTATAAGTTGTGTCATGCAAAATCCGTTTGGTTATGATTCCAATACATATTTAACAACGAGTAGAAAGTAGTCTTGATTTTCTAACTTGATGAAAACAAACTATAATCTCATTAATTCTAACAGATTTTTTTATTGTTAAAAATGGCGGCGCCCTGTCGGGAACATCCGCCAGTCTGAAGATGAATGGTATTGAGGTTTGTTTTCACCGAGTTACAAAATCAAAACTACTTTCTACTGGTAGTAAAATATGTATTTTATTGATGGCCAATAGGATTTTGCATGACATAGCGTATATCATAACAATTTCTCTCGTGGCAGCGAGGTGGGTGTCAATATAATACTACTTACAATATTATTGTTACTTCGACCACAACCTCACTTCCGAGGAAGAAATCGTTATGTTAACTTGTAACATGGAAAATCTTTATGGTCATCAATCATATGCATATTTTACTACAACTTGTAAGTAGTTTTGATTCTTTAACTTCCGTGAAGCGATCTGAACACAAGTTAGATATCGTTTCAGGCTTCCACAACGCTCGCTTCGCACTCACAAACATAACCCATTTAGCACGAACTGCGGGGTCCTGTGGAAATCTGTGCATGGGGACACCATCGCCCGACCCCTAGGAGCAATTGACGACAAAGCAACGATTCGGCATGTCGTCGTGGATGTCGAGAAATCATCAAAATGATGAGCGTGCTACACATTTTCTATACAACTAACTGAAAATCGTTCCTCATATGACGTCACTGCAGTGCTCTGGCGACAGAGTTACGTAACCTGTCTGTGGTTTCGTTGGCGGGCGAGAGGGAAGCAGGCGACTTTTTGGCCACTTTTAATCGCTCGGTATTAATTAACCACAAGTTTTTAAAGAATAAATTTGGTGTTCCGCATAAGACTAACCACAAATCTTTCATATGTAATGGTTAAAAGAGTAACAAAAAACAAAGTTTAGTGGTTCTTTAACTCTCTGCCTGAAAATATGTAGAGATTATTGCATTTTGTTTTTCATATCTTGCCCGATATCATCCCGTTCTGGGAATGTTAACATTGCGAACGTTGCCGTGTCGCTGTTTAATTGTGAGTCGAACTGAGACATTATATCCGTCGAAAAACATAAACGCAATGTTTCCACCAGTGCTGTTAGCCGAGTGAAGCAGTTGCAAACCAAGAAACGGGGTGCTACGGAGTAGTTTACTGTAGGAGGCTGTACGAGAGGCGATGACAACTGACATGCATCGTGACGTCGGTTACCAAGGGGACAGACCAGAATGGCGTAGTGACCTTAATACGGTGTGACGTCATGCAAAAGTGTACTACAGAACAAAACTGTTCTGCAACCTCTTTATGAAACCGGTTTCGGTTTGTAACCATAACAATAACAAAAATACGCTATTTTGTCAATTTAATGCATGTAAGACGTGGGTAATAAATAAAATACCACACTCGGTCTCATAACATACGAATTATACGAAACTCGTGACCTTCCTATGGTTTCTGACCTCGCCTTCGCTCGGTCGAAATAATTCGTATGTAATGAGACCTCGTGTAGTATTCTCTATTTATTACCTACGAGGGCGAAAATATCGGGGTTCATATTTTTCATACGATGCCCTAGGGCAAAATATCACTTTGTCATGGTGACATGACGTCATGAACAATGCTATAACATCACGTTTCTTCCATGACGTTGCGTCCTTCATGCGGCGACGACGGGTAGCCAGCCTGTGTTTGAAAGTAGATTTGGGTTTATTTTCCTCAATTTCACTCGTGCCTAAATATCGGTACATCCCTCGCTCTCGCTCGTGAAATACCAACGTTTAGGCACTCGTGTCGTAAACATAGTATGACATGGACGCTCCTCTATATCTTGCCCGGGGCCAGATATGACCATGCCGATCCTGCCCATATCGGGGTGGCAAAAAAGTCCATACCAGGGAAAATATCACTGTATAAAGTGATAATGAACATTATCTAATTAAATGCCCTGGGCATAACAACATAAGACATAATCTCAAAAGTGCTGTACTTGAGGTTGATGATATATTTTCTTTAGAAACAGTTTTGGGCCCGAATATCATGTACGGGTCTGTGCAACGGGCATTTTTAGATTTTGTCTCGTCATCTGGAAAATATGATGTAATCTAGACAGGCTCTCAAGTGACTTAGACAAATTAGTTCTGTGATTTTAAATCAGTTTAAATCAGCTTAACCCACTGCTTTTTTAATGAATGAGTACATATGTATTTCATTTTTTAGAAATGGAAGTGATTCCTTAAAGGTCACATGCAACGTAAAACACAACTTTGCAGATTCTGATACATTTCGGAATGGACTTACCAAAACAAATCGTCAAAAATGCAAATTCAACTTATAAAGTTGAAAAATATCGCGATGAAAAACACCCGTAGAAATCGTAGTTCAAACGATTCACTCATTTTCCCCCAGCGTTTGGGGGGAATTCTAGTGGTTTCAACAGCTGGGCTACGCTCATAGCACGTGTGCAGTGAAATAGGTTCGCGCAGCTTGGAAGCGGGTTGTCCGGTGAATACTCGGTGAAGGCTTTGGTGTGAGCTATTTTTCTAATGTTGATATTTTGTTGATATCTCACAGGCGCGCGGGCGAGCTTTTCATATGTTATGACAGTAAATTAACTGTTTATTTAATTTCATTTGTCTATTTCACCACACGTTCTTCTTACCGAGTCACTTTCTCAGTTCGATACTTAAAAGCAATGTCATTATTTAGCGTTGACAGAATTTCTAACTGATATAGATATGTCGTTGTCACAGACAAAACTCAATGTCTTGTTTTATTGACACCTGTGTGTCTGCCTGCCTGTCTGCTAATGACAATATTCAATACACAGCTGCTATCACTGACCACATGCAATTTGAACTTAACACCAATCAGGCTATACACCATAAACAAAATGCATTGATTTATGGCCCGAGTTCGGTCTCTGTCACATTATGTAATTACACAGACAGGCAGGTGTGATACTTGAACACATGACATGTTATGATGTCTGCTGATTGCAAAATGTTATACACAAAAAATGAGCATGTATTTACAAAACCCAACATCTCTTTATATACACACACAATGAGCCGTGAGGGCATCTGCAAATGAACCAGCCGTTACACTTGAGTGTACACCCACCCGCTCTGACTGGGTTCAGTATCCCGGCTGCTTCGTTTCTTGGGAAGTAAACCCAAGTACACAATATTGCACTTTTGATTTGCGATTGTACGCTTATAATTTTGTTTATATGTTTTTTCATAACCAGCAATGTATATTATATGTCATTAATAAGTGAAAATTGTGTTTTAATTATGTTTGATTTTTTGGTTGCATGTGACCTTTAAGGTCCGTAACACGAAGCAGAGGTTATGCGATATATGTATACATCTATCCAAATAAATATTAATAGCGTTGTCGTTTCTTTTATGTTATCTAAACGATTTCTTTTGGCGATGTAATAACTTGTGATTTATATTAAATCAAGTCAGTGTGTTGGGCGCAAATAGGCCTCTTATTGGCCCACGTTGCCCTCCCTAAAACTATAAAACCAACCACCAACGAACCAACTCTCTGCCGCTAGGGGGAAAGTGTATAGAGGGCAGTATACATCACGTGACAAGACAGACGGACACACAGATAGACAGACACGTCAAGGCCAGTGGTCACACACCCTATGACCAGTGGTTAGCTGACAGGCCAGGTGCAATGACATAGTCCGGTTTCACAGAGCAATCCCACTGAGACACAGAGCGACAGTTCAGTATGGAAACCCCTCTCATGCACATTCAACTGACTCCAAATAGACCAGTCCTTGTTTTACCTCCTGCCAGGTAACGCGACAACAAATACTGTCTTTCTTTCAGTGTGCCTGCCTACATATTTCGAACTATTAACCTTGCCCTCCTCGTCTGGGGTTGTGAGGTGGGTGGGAAATTAAAAGCAAAGTTAAAGAGGCAAATATACAGTCGATCACCGTTCTGTCGAACTCTGATAACTCGATATCTCGGTTGTCTCAATAAAACATCTCGGTCCCGGCGTCCGCCCGGAGAGCGGAAGGTCGCGGGTTCGATCCCCGACCGCGTCATACCAAAAGACGTTAAAATATGGTACTTGTTTGTCCCTGCCTCGCGCTCGGTATTAATGGGTACAACAAGGACTGGTCGGCTCGGAGTCAGTATAATGTGTCTGAGTGGGGTATTCATGCTTCACTGCGGCATGGTATCTCAGTGGGCTAGCACTATAAAACCAGCTTAAGTCTGGGCTAGTACAAGCAGCCGCACATACACATACACACGCATGCACGTCGTCATATGAGCGAAATATTCTCAAGCACGACGTAAAACCCAATTTCACCTCAACTCACCTCTCGGTCCCGGCAAAATCCTTCATACGGATGTCTCGATATTTCGAATATCTCGATATAATTTCATGGTCCCAACAAGCAAAATTACCCTTTTAACTCGATATGTGAAAGAAACTCGATATTCACCTACTTTTCATGGGCAAGTATCCCCCTGAACTGAGGTTGTTTCCACACGGTGCGGCATGAATCAAAGGGATGCGGTAGTGTAAACTAATTAGGGCTAATTGAGTTGAAGGTGTCACTTGTTTGTTATTTAATTAGGATTAATTAACAAGGAATTAATTAGGAAGTACTCACTGTTACGACTAAACACTACTGATAACGGATTATAGTTTTTAATCAAAACATACTGAGAATCCCATGAGGGTTTTGTGTAATCACATGACTAGCATGTGATTTGTAACATATGTTATATTTTGCTCGACTGTACTCATATTCTATTCGTGTCTGGAAAATGATATTTTTAATGTTTAAACTGTCTTCTTATGAATATCTCAATAACTCAGTAAATGGAAAATTATTTTTACAGGTTGGCACCTAATCGTTTCTATTCACCAATCACACTGCGAAATCGCAAAATATGGGAGTTGGTATATATCATTTTTCACTTCATGGGTAATTTTAACTCACTCAATTATTAGTCTAAAACAGAGAGTATACCAGATTTTACTATAATACCTTAATTGGTAACGATAAAACAAAGTAATGACTGTCCGGTCTAGAAATGTAAATTCCCTTTATCGCGGCTGTCAACAATTTTACCGTTATATTGGAGCATGCCAGTGTATTGCTTGTAGAAATCCATACCAAAGGATAGATGTCGCTACTTACACGGTGGAGACAGGAACTGGTAGATGTGCTTATAGATATCCGTCACAGAGCATAGATAGGCCATGTCGCTACTTACACGGTGGAGACAGGAACTGGTAGATGTGCTTATAGATATCCGTCACAGAGCATAGATAGGCCATGTCGCTACTTACACGGTGGAGACAGGAACTGGTAGATGTGCTTATAGATATCCGTCACAGAGCATAGATAGGCCATGTCGCTACTTACACGGTGGAGGCAGGAACTGGTAGATGTGTCTGTAGATATCCGTCACAGAGCATAGATAGGCCATGTCGCTACTTACACGGTGGAGGCAGGAACTGGTAGATGTGCTTATAGATATCCGTCACAGAGCATAGATAGGCCATGTCGCTACTTACACGGTGGAGGCAGGAACTGGTAGATGTGCTTATAGATATCCGTCACAGAGCATAGATAGGCCATGTCGCTACTTACACGGTGGAGGCAGGAACTGGTAGATGTGTCTGTAGATATCCGTCACAGAGCATAGATAGGCCATGTCGCTACTTACACGGTGGAGGCAGGAACTGGTAGATGTGCTTATAGATATCCGTCACAGAGCATGTGATAGGCCATGTCGCTACTTACACGGTGGAGGCAGGAACTGGTAGATGTGCTTATAGATATCCGTCACAGAGCATAGATAGGCCATGTCGCTACTTACACGGTGGAGGCAGGAACTGGTAGATGTGCTTATAGATATCCGTCACAGAGCATAGATAGGCCATGTCGCTACTTACACGGTGGAGGCAGGAACTGGTAGATGTGCTTATAGATATCCGTCACAGAGCATAGATAGGCCATGTCGCTACTTACACGGTGGAGGCAGGAACTGGTAGATGTGCTTATAGATGTCCGTCACAGAGCATAGATAGGCCATGTCGCTACTTACACGGTGGAGGCAGGAACTGGTAGATGTGCTTATAGATATCCGTCACAGAGCATAGATAGGCCATGTCGCTACTTACACGGTGGAGGCAGGAACTGGTAGATGTGCTTATAGATATCCGTCACAGAGCATAGATAGGCCATGTCGCTACTTACACGGTGGAGGCAGGAACTGGTAGATGTGCTTATAGATATCCGTCACAGAGCATAGATAGGCCATGTCGCTACTTACACGGTGGAGGCAGGAACTGGTAGATGTGCTTATAGATATCCGTCACAGAGCATAGATAGGCCATGTCGCTACTTACACGGTGGAGGCAGGAACTGGTAGATGTGCTTATAGATATCCGTCACAGAGCATAGATAGGCCATGTCGCTACTTACACGGTGGAGACAGGAACTGGTAGATGTGTCTGTAGATGTCCGTCACAGAGCATAGATAGGCCATGTCGCTACTTACACGGTGGAGGCAGGAACTGGTAGATGTGCTACTTATAGATATCCGTCACAGAGCATAGATAGGCCATGTCGCTACTTACACGGTGGAGGCAGGTAGAACTGGTAGATGTGCTTAGGAACTGGTAGATGTGTCTGTAGATATCCGTCACAGAGCATAGATAGGCCATGTCGCTACTTACACGGTGGAGGCAGGAACTGGTAGATGTGCTTATAGATATCCGTCACAGAGCATAGATAGGCCATGTCGCTACTTACACGGTGGAGGCAGGAACTGGTAGATGTGCTTATAGATATCCGTCACAGAGCATAGATAGGCCATGTCGCTACTTACACGGTGGAGGCAGGAACTGGTAGATGTGCTTATAGATATCCGTCACAGAGCATAGATAGGCCATGTCGCTACTTACACGGTGGAGGCAGGAACTGGTAGATGTGCTTATAGATATCCGTCACAGAGCATAGATAGGCCATGTCGCTACTTACACGGTGGAGGCAGGAACTGGTAGATGTGCTTGATAGATATCCGTCACAGAGCATAGATGTGCTTTACACGGTGTAGATGTCCGTCCATAGATAGCCATGTCGCTACTTACACGGTGGAGGCAGGAGGCCATGTCGCTACTTACACGGTGGAGGCAGGAACTGGTAGATGTGCTTATAGATATCCGTCACAGAGCATAGATAGGCCATGTCGCTACTTACACGGTGGAGGCAGGAACTGGTAGATGTGTCTGTAGATATCCGTCACAGAGCATAGATCGGCTAAGGCACTTTTAACACAAATCACCGACACATCTGAAAAGAAAACAGATATTGTGAGTAAATTTTGTGAGAAAGGTTTCACTCAGCAACAATACAGCAACATCACGGCGTGGGACACCCTCACACGATGGATCCACGTTAGGAATCGAACGTTATAGGTAGGAAGTTCCAAGCTGATTACTGTACACCACACATGTTACTGGTCTCTCCTGTCGTAACGTTAACAAACACGGGGAATCATTTGTCCCTTTGACAGAGTGAGTATGTTGTTTTTACGGTACTTTCAGCACATTCCAGCAATATCACGGCGGGGGAAACATGAAATGGACTTCACCATTGTAAGTGGGGATTCGAACCAAGGCCTTAAGCGTGACGCTTTAACCATTTGGCTGCCCCACCTATGCACCGTGGTGAAAGCAGATTTGTGTTCAGTGATAGAAGATCCATTACGATATATAAGTGGGTTAATGTTTTGCTTTGTAGCAAAACAATTTCGAAGGCAGAAATTGATTCTGGACGAGAGAAACCAAAATTCACTGACATGAACATTGATCATGTGTCAGGTAACAATGGCACGGCGGGACTGCACACTGATGGCCATCGCTGGAGAGTGTTGGAATTAGCTCTTTCACTGGATCTCAGATTTGATTCGAGTGTCCATGTATCGTCAATACTTTGTTCTTTGGACACACTACGTTCCTCCATCATCCGAGGAGGCGATGGGGTAGCTGGGTGGTTAAAGCGTTCGCTCATCACGCCGAACACTTGGGTTCGAATCCCCATGTGGGCAAAATGTGAAAAACAGATTCGTGGTGAGGTGATATTGCTATACAGTGCACTCTGTCAAACTCGGACCCTGTCTTTCTCGGATTGCTGTATAAACAGGACTAAACTCACGGTCCCGACGTAATCCTTCTTTGTTGTCATAATAAAAATGTTTTGTATCTCGGACTCTCATTATGTCGGATTTCGGACCAAAGTGTCGGCCCGATAAGGTAGTTACACGTAAAAACATTGCTATATAATTCGGACTGAGCAGGAAGTCCGCTTGGCCAATAAACCTTGAATAAACAATCCGTTGATTGGTTTGTGTATTTTGTCTTATTTACTTAGCAGGAAGTCCGCGGTGAACGCTTATTTACCAATTGTAAACTATAATTGAGCCGATCATGTCAACTCAGTGTCAATGTCACTATGCATTTAAGATGCCATCAGACACAGTGTGATATCAATCAGGTCAAATTGTCTAAGCGACCACGAAAACGACAGCGTACTGAAAGTAACGTAAGGCAATACTCACTGACCCCATCACACGTCTGTGGATGAGTGAGTGAGTTTAGTTTTACGTCGCACTCAGCAATATTCCAGCTATATATAAATAAATCGAGTCTAGACCAGACAATCCAGTGATCAACAGCATGAGCATCGATCTGCGCAATTGGGAACCGATGACAAGTCTGCGAGCCTGACCACCCGATCCCGTTAGTCGCCTCTTACGACAAGCATGGGTTACTGAAGATCAATATTCTAACCCGGATCTTCACGGGTCCGTAACCTCCAAGAAGACACCTGACATACGTACAAATCACATCAGCTGTACAATTCGCGAACTTCGAACCGAAAAAGACATTACTAACGATACGTCGACAATAGCCATTTAGAAAGCAACTTTAAAAAAAATTATGACACGTTTCTAACTGAGGATTTCCATTCCAGACTACGCTTTAAATATCTGGATTAGATATTGAAAATAAAGACAATAACAGTTTTGAATGTCTTAAGATGGCCCAAACTGGAAAGCAGTATTTTAGGGAAAGGTCAGGGTGCCAGTCTACGAATATAATAGAGGATCTTTTGTAAATAATAACGACTAGGTGGCATTCGTAACTAGTGACCCTAGACTCGTACCTGTATAGTACGCCATTTTGGCCAAGAATCGAGGCAAACCAATCAAATCGCGCGTAGTAAACTGTGAAATGAGGTCAAATAGTTTCTTTGCGATTATCGATTTTCATTATTAAATCCGTGATTATAGAATTATCTTGTTACTGATATTTGTTAACGACATCCGAAACTTACTTTAAGTGACTTTCGTGTTATATGATAACGTAATTGGCGTTTTCTAGGAGTAGCCATATTTGGAAATTTAGAGTCATCGTTCCTTGGAAATAGCCCAGACTAATTTCATCTCCGTGCCCGTTTGCGCTTAGACAAGACCCAGTCGTGAACATGGCCACGAGAGGGGTACGAGTCGCAATCCGCCTTGCCGGAATGACACGAGTAGTTACGAATGGACTAGGTGGTCATGGTTATGGAAGAAGGTTGTTCAGAGAAATGGCCAAAATTGTAGGGCAGTAGTTTGACGAAGGGCTGGGTAAGAGAACAAGAGAGGACCTGTTGTCAATGATGCAGACTAGGTTGCAAAGCGGATGTATGTATTCGTATGTTATGGAGGAAGGTGGTCTGGACAAACCCGTTAGGTATTTGCAAGACGATTGACCCGCAGAGTGGAGTGAGTGCTACTCACAGGGTGCCACCCACTCCAGGTCGCCGACTGTAATGGTGTATTTGCCAGTACAGGCATGTCCTGACGCTGTCACATTCAGATACAGCGCATCCTGGCCTGAATCCTGAAGCACCACGCTTGGGATTCCTGGAAAGGCGGTACTGAAAGACAAGTAAAAGATGTCAGTTAACATGGCAGACACTTCGCACTGGTAGAGTCTTGGAGACGGCATGGGTGACTGAGGGGATCGTGTGGTCGCTGACTTGATCCGGACAAGTACACACACACACACACACACACACACACACACACACACACACACACACACACACACACACACACACACACACACACGCACGCACGCAGGCACGCAGGCGCGCGAACGCACGCGCGTATGTGTCGCTCTCCGTGTGCAATAATTTTGAATGCAAGAAATTTTTATGGTGAATTTTAATGGCGGGTTTACCCCGGGTAACAAAGCTGCCTGTGAAGCGCTAGAAGGTTGTAGTCACATGACTTATCCCACCGGGTACCCATTTTATTCTGCTGGGTGAACAGAGGCAGTTTTGAGCAAACTCGCTTGCTCAAGGTGAGACCACACGTATCACATGTGCTTCGTTGTGGGGCAGGACTGAAGTCCTAGAAACTATCAGGAGTCAAGCTGCCAACCTCCCATCCAAGAATCTCCGCACCCAACTTTGGTCAACTTCAAATGATTTGTGTCTTGTACTCTATGCATAGGACCACATGCCACCATTACCTGTATAGACAGTGAGTGAGTGTGCGAGTGAGTTTAAATCACTTGAAATATTAAATCACCAACCCATACGGAACTGTGTGCGTCTTGTTCTTTGCGTTATCAACATATGTTTGTCTTCACACCATAATCCCATTTCGCCACGTCTCACCTGTGGAAACTGTTGACAGCTATGCTGGGTGACTGATAACTTGACGACCCGTATATATCCACGTGTCCATTTTCCACGCTGACCTGAATTAAAAAGCATGACATATTTAGTATGCCAATTTATTTAAATTTGACCGGAGAATGTAACTGCTCAAATGAACAAGCATGAACACTCACGTCCACAGGGGCTTGTATTGCTGAAAATAATACATCCTAGGTCCAACACTCTTTCACTGATAGCCGTCCTCATGTAAAAAAGGTAAAGGGATGTAACGCACTCAAAGTTGACAAACACCCCATCTCGCCTCTGGGAGATTGTAACAGCACACAAAGTCAGACGCCTAGACCGCTCAGCCACCGCGGCTTCCACAGAAAATATAACATATGTTACATTTGACCACTTTCTAAAATGGCATTGTGTATTTCATAGCTTTCGGCCGTGGGAGCCAGTTAACACTTATCAGAGGGGTACACAAAGTCCGCAGTCTAGACTACCAGTTGTCCGACTTCCATTTTTGTGGAAGACGCGATGTCTGAGCGGCCTAGGCGTCTGACTTTGTGTGCTGGCGTTTAGGTGGCTGACTCCGAGGGTGTGGGTTCGAATCCCGGATGGGACTCAACCACCAAAAAGTACTAGAATCTGTACTTTACTGAGAAAGTGTAATCCCAAATATAACATATGTTACATTTGACCACTTTCTAAAATGGCATACAGGTATTTATTTTTTGCCAATCAGAGAGCAGCTCGCCCAGAAACGAAAAGGGCGCAATACAAGCCCCCGTGCTCACATCAATATTCGAATTGGTATATAGAATACTAGTACCTCCGCTACCTGAAAATCCAAAATGGCCGTCTAATGCCAAGATGGCCGCACATTGCCACAGAGACTATCGATACGCGAGATACAGGTGGCCAAGGTGAAGACTGGATTAAGGGTATTAATGGAGAAATTATACATGGGATATTCGAGAGTGAAATTTCATATACTTTTCTGTTCGATTTAGTAAGGTTACAGTCCTATTTCCGTGTTACCGTGACTTGGGTGTTGGGACCGTCTGTGAGAATCTGGTACAGTTCATCCTTAGAGCAAGAAAGGGTGTAGGATCCTGTCTTCAGAATCGCTGGCGCTGTCAACGTTGAGGGAAATACAGACAATGTTGACGTGAAGTGACATTATCATTGTGACATATGCAAACAGATTTCTCTCACACATAAATAGATCGGATACCCGCTTGCGATGTTTCTTGTGTACACTTTACAGATTCATGTAATAAATAAATAAATAAATAAAATAAATAAATAAATAAATAAATAAATAAATAAATAAATAAATAAATAAATAAATAAATAAATAAATAAATAAATAAATAAATAAATAAATAAATAAGTATGTTGTGCATTGATGTATGCACAACAATAGTTCACAATTGGAATAAGTTTTTAACATATTTGAAAAGTACATTGGATCCAAACTCCCCGATCATAGTATTGTTATTGTGCAATATTCGAAGTGGGCAAGTATACTGGATTCGAGGGCTAATAAAATTGAGCTGCATGTCAAGCTACTTCGTCCTTTTTTATATATCAACGCAAAAACGAATAGGGATATTTTCGCAAATTCTCTGATCTTTAATCCAGAGAAAGATCATGTATCTTTGAAACTTCATATATTTCAGCTTGACGGTAACTATAACTTTGACCTTTGTTTCTTGGATATATTTGAAAGCATTTACCTTTACAAGATCGTTCCTGTATTTCACTTACAAGAGCAGTAAGGTCTGAATATTCCGACAACACTATCACATGTGTACATGATGGCGTGTTCGCCACGCCCACCAACTCAATGTTGTCCACGTGGCGACCAACACCGATGGCAAAGATGACGATGCCCTTTTTGCGAGCTCTCCGGGCTGCAGCCACTGTCCTTGAACTTGCATTTGATTTACCATCTGTCACCAGGAGAATAACCTTTGAGGAACCATTCCGAGAACCCATGGCATCAGTGAAGAGATCTTCAGAAGCAAAGTTCAAGGCCAGGTCAGTGTCTGTTCCACCGCCTGCTTTGGTGACCTTGTCGATGGCGCCAAGAACTTCATCTTTCGTCGTGTATTCCATGAAGTTGAACTCGGACCTGTAACCAGTACTGAAGGAGATGAACGCTACCCTCACATCAGTTAGGCCAATTTGAAATATTTTGATAACGTCACGAGCAAATCTTTTGGCACTCTCAAAGTCATCCATTGAGACACTTCCCGATGCGTCCATTAGAAAAGCCAGATCCAGGTTGGTTCGCGAACAGACTGAAAACAAAATGACAACCTATTATAGTCAAATTGTTTTCTATCCACACAGTGAGATTAATATCACTTATGAATATACAACAATACCTTGATCAGCGGAATACACGTATGTAGTTAACAAAAACAGAACATAGACTACTACTACTACTACTACTACTACTACTGCTGATTCTACTACTATTACTAATATTACTACTTCTTCTACTACTACTTTTACTGCGGCTGATGATACTGTTACCACCACCACCACCACAACCACTACCACTACCTACTACTACTACTACTACTACTACTACTACTACTACTACTACTACTACTACTACTACTACTACTACTACTACTACTACTTCCAGTGCTGCTGCTGATACTGTTACCACCACCGATGCGATCACTATTATGACTACTTCTACTACTTTGTATAATAATAATAATAATAATAATTGATTTTATAGAGCGCCTATTTCCAAAAATATATTGCTCAATGGCGCTATGAAGAGAAAAAGATTGTAGACAATGTCTATGGAAAAGAGAGTTTGGACAGATGAGTTTTGAGGGCAGTTTTGAAAGCATCAGCAGATTCTATTTCTTTTAGGGTGAGTGGTAGAATGTTCCAGAGATAGGGGGCTGCAGCAGAGAACGCTCTTGATCCCATGGCTCTTTTGACGTGAGGCTGTGTAAGCAGTAGGGAGTTTGACGAGCGGAGCAATCGGCTTAAAACATGGAGATGAATGAGACTTTTAAGATATTGAGAAAACATGTTTTCATAGATGCAGCTGTGTGTAAGAAGAAGAAGAAGTTTGTATTGAATTCTGCTTGATACAGGAAGCCAGTGAAGAGTTTTTCGAGGATAGGTGTCACAGTTTGGTAGCGTGGTGCACGGGCAACAACAGGGGCGGCTGAATTCTGAATCCGTTGGAGTTGTGAAAGGAGCTGTTGAGGAATGTTGTAATAGAGGGAGTTGCAGTAATCAAGTTTAGAGAGAACAAGGCTGGTCGTTAGAAGCTGGGCGGTGTTGAAGTCTAAGAGGGTTCGGATCTTGCTAATATTGAAGATATGGTAGAAGCATCCTTTTCTGAGTGATTTGATTTGATTTTCTAATGACATTGTTTATTGAAAGATGACACCAAGATTTTTTGCAGAGTCTGACTGCGTGATAACATCTTTTCCAATTTCAAGAGATAAACTGTCAGGCACTTTGGAAAGTTGATGCCTGGATCCGATGGTTAAGAACATCGACATGTATATCGAAATGTATAACGACATTTGCAGTGCTGATACTTCTTTTACTATTGCTGCTGCTGATACTGTCCCCACTGCCTCTACTACTACTGAAGATGATGTGTGTACATATATTTCGCTCGTCTCCATACACTTGTTACTCAAACCATTACCATGGAGCAGGTATTGGCTGACTAATAATTTAGAAGTTTTCACACAGACGTCACAAGAAATGCCATTTGATCTTAACCTCAACTAAAACGTCAATCCATAATATTATATCTGTTTACCAATGTTTAGTTGTTTCGCTGCCGTGTAGTAGTTGTGAGCTGAGTGGGGGTCATCATGAAAGTATTTCCTGTAGTATGTGCCTTGCTTCTCCACACCCTGTGGGAGGGGTTCGGTAATGGTGGTCAGATAGAGAGCAGCAGCGAGTCCGGAGTACAGAGGCTTCCTGAGATCTGACCATTGAACTGTATTCCAGTCGATGGCAAACTGTGTGTTGACGTCCGCAAACAGGGTGCCAGAGTTCTTGATCTTGTTGAACTTGTCCTGGTCGATCTGAAGTAAAGAATACATGTGAAACCTCGTTTCCTTGAAGCTGTCGACAATACGTCTCTGTTGATATCTCCCTGACAACCATTTTATGTTCCCCAGTAAAGTTTGGAAATTTTGTCAATGAATGTGTGAAAGAACCCCGAACAAAAAGGATTTTCATGTTGATCTGAATATAAGAAATAGTACAAATACTCCAACAATATTAAATATGTCTTCATGTACAGTTAATAGAATCCAGATTTATTTCTTTAGTTAATTTTGAAGTAAATATACTGAGAGAAAAAATAAAGGATCACAGGAAAATTCAAACGTTCCTTTAATATTTTCCAGTTCACCAGCTTTGAATAGCGCGCTGTGGTAAAGAAAACTGGAAAATAATTCCTGTGATCCTTTATTTTTCTCTCTCAGTATATATAATTTACATTACACTTTAATCGAAATCAACACTTTAATCTTTTCCATAATGTGAATGTTTGTTTGCGAGTTCATTTTCCAGTTCATGTATCGCACACAAATTATTAAAGGTACTCCACCTGCCAAATATTAAGTGAAATGTCGTTAACTCGAAATCCTTTAAACTCTCAATGTCTACATTAGCTAGGGTAACAACCATATTATATTCCACTTTTGTTAGGATTCTGAAACAAGGAATTGTTAAACCACCATCTTAAATATATCTTTATAGACATGATTTCGTGTACTAGGGGAATTCAAAAACTGGGCAAAATATATCATGTAACAAAACCTGCATTTGGAATTGAAATCCCTTAATAGATCGCTCGATTTGCCGAACAAGCGGGGTCGAGTCCCTAAGGTACTACAAACAAACCCCGTTGTGTCGAAGTGGAAGGTTCAGACCTAAATGTTCCGAGTTATCCGATGTCCGACACAAACGCAAAATGGGTATTTCACAGGGAAGCTTTTATTTCGAGACAACTGTAGTTCGACACATCAAGGTTTGACTGTATATTATTGGCGTCTTCCTCAGTAATGGCTGGAATATTGCAATCTTTGTCAATCTCACTCACCTGCCAAATTCCCCCATCATACCCAGGTCTGTAGGTCTTTGGGTCTGTTCCATCATGCGTCTCCACGAATGCCAGGCGTCTGAGGAACAGTTTATCGTCAGAGAACAGACACGACTCTGTGATTCTGTTCACCACAGCCTCTGTCACCTCAGATCCAGATGCCCCTGGAACTCGAGTCTGATCCTGAACGATGGCCGCGCCCAACCCAAAAAGAAGGCTGGCCAATAAACAATACATGATGTGACCGCGCTAATCGAAAGTCAATAATCGATCAGAAAATATGATCACATACTCAAGCCCCATCGGTTACAGTATGATAATGAACTTCAGAAACACGATCGTGTCACAAATGATTCATTGGGGTAAAACTTTGATTGAGATAACCTATGGCTTTAGCTTGGCGTGACACTAGGTCAGGTAGGGGATTACTGTGGCGTAGGGTAAGACGACCACTTCAACCAGACGCAACATTCCTAGAAAGAGAACACACTCGGCTTGAAGTTAGCGGTTTTGAATTATGTTGTTTTCATTGCAGTGGGTTCAACCAATCAGGATGTTTGCTCTGAAGACAACTCGACCATTGTTTAGGACAAGTTGATACGAATGTACTGTTTGCTTGTGGACATTCCTAATTATCATGGTGAACGCTTCACGTCAAGTGATGTTTCTGACAAGCAAAGAACCAAACTACCTAAGGTCAAAAGATGACTGAAATGTTGCAATAAACACGTCATTTAACTGTCTGTGTGACATTTTGTTAAAAGCTAGCGTCGGCTGTTTAAATTACGAAATATAGGGGCCATGAGTAAGTAAGGCCCATTGGATTTCCAGAAAGCCTATTTTAGGATTAGTTTCAAATATGTCTTGAAGGGAGAGAAACGAGCGAGCGAGTGAGTGAGTTTAGCTTTAAGCAGCTTTTAGCAATATCCCAGCAATATCACGGCGGGGGGAAACAAGAAATGTGCTTCACATATTGTGCCCATGTGGGGAATTCGGGGTGACGAGCGAACGCTTTAACCACTAGGCTACCGGTGGCCCCTTGAAGGTTGAGGATACAGTAGGTTGCTAAGAGACAGTAAGATAGAATCACCTAGTTTACAATAAGTGCCTACAGACTCGCTATTATATGTGAAGCAAGTTTTTAAAGCTTACAAAGTTTTAAAGGTGAGGTGAGGTGAGGTGAGGTGAGGTGAGGTGAGGTGAGGTGAAAGTGGGTTTAACGTCGTGCTGGAGAATATTTCGCTCATATGACGACGTGCATGCGTGTGTATGTGTATGTGCGGCTGCTTGTACTAGCCCAGACTAAAGCTGGTTTTATAGTGCTAGCCCACTGAGATACCATGCCGCAGTGAAGCATGAATATCCCACTCAGATACATTATACTGACTCCGAGCCGACCAGTCCTTGTTGTACCCATTAATACCGAGCGCCGGACAGGGACCAACAAGTACCTTATTTTAACGCATTTTGCTATGGCGGTCACAAAGTGTAAAGTCATTCCAGCTAAGAGGAATATTTGTTTCAGAAATGACAAAAAATACAAAGACCGCTTCAATATCCTTTGACCTTTGATCACGTGGTTGTATTTAGACTGAGGCTCTGGAGTCGAATGTTAGAGAGCTGCTATTTTAGCATCGTGTCAACCGTATGCATGTACGCTATCGAAATGAGTGAGTGAGTGAGTTTAGTTTTACGCCGCAATCAGCAATATTCTGTAAATAATCGACTCTGGACCAGACAATCCAGTGATCAACAGCATGAGCATCGATCTGCGCAATTGGGAACCGATGACATGTGGAAAACACGCCAGCGAGCCTGACCCCCCGATCCCGTTAGTCGCCTCTTACGACAAGCATGGGTTAAAGAAGGGTCATTCTAACCCGGACCTTCACGGGTAGCTATCGAAATGAACTAAAAACACACAGAACACGTGCAGCTCAAGTACATTAAGTCATTTTATCTCAGTCGCGTAACTGCCAATTCTTACGCCGAATGTAGGCATACGAAAGATGATAAGATTTATATCTACACGTAACATACGCTCATGAGACCCTTGACAAAATTGGTCTCCATGTCAAGATGGATGGCATCATCCTTTCAGCAGTAAAGTTTTCCTTTGTATTCAAGCAGCTCGTACCTTTGCTGTTTTCATCGATATTCTCAGTGCAGAGTTACCTCCCTTGTGCGTGCCATGGACTTTTGATTGAGTTCGAATCTCGGTTCTTTTTTTCATCTTTTAATTATTCCATTTCCAGTTGCATGTACAGGCAGAAGAGTGAACACATTAGTTTGAGTAAGTCAAATTGTATGTGTGCTGAATTAAAATGTGAGAGTAGGGTATTTAAGTGATGCCATTTCCTAGTAAAATAACTAAATTAATTATTTTTCATTGCAATAAATCTTTCAATATAGCACATGTCCTTAAACAACATGTTTTAAGAAATCCAGCAAAATATATATAGTAGTAACATGTGATTTACTACTTGATTGTTTGAGGCCAGTCCAAACATAATAATGAATTTAGATAGTGTTAGATTGGTTTGGGGGTTATTATTAAGGAATTTATAACTTTAAGCCAAAAGTTCCGAACAAATTGACTTTCAATGAAAACATCTGATATATCTTCGGATGCGGTTTTAGAAAATGTACATGTATCGTCATCAACAAACTGCATCTTGAATTATTCTTTTTTTTGTCAAATTATTATCGAATGCCGGTTCTTCCTGATTGTTTCCTGGTTTGAGAGCTCCATAACCGTGATGGTGGGCCTCACCTCTGTGATAAATGTTACAGACCTGTATCACATCGGGCTAGCAGTGATGTCGGTGAAATGCTGTTAAACTCACTCGCTCATCAACGCACTCCAGCATTGGATGTCTTAGAAAAAAGCTTTCAAAACGTTCCCATCTTTGACACATCAGTGATCAAGATTATGTTCAATGTTACTCCCTAGTTTGACTTGAACCATCTGTTCCCGTGTTTAGTACACGTGGACAACTGACTAGCATGATTTTGGAGAAGTGCTATCGTTGGGGCAGGATTCGCTCACCTTTTCGCGAACACCTGGTTACAACAGTATTTCACAGTGACTCATAAACACGTTCTGATTAAGTAGGTATCGTAAACCTGTGTCAGAAGTATGTGTGTTTAACGTTATAGATTTATCACCTAAATTATTGTACGTGTACATTAATAATTTATTTCAATACTACACTATATCAAATATCTCCTGTATCACTTTTATTAAAATGTGTGTGTGTGTGTGTGTGTGTGTGTGTGTGTGTGTGTGTGTGTGTTACTACAGAGTTAAATACATCAAAGGATTAAGTAAGACAACTTGAAACCTACATGACCTCTTGTGAACAGACCCGTGAAGATCCGGGTTTTAATTGATCTTCAGTAACCCATGCTTATCATAAGAGTCGACTAACGGAACATGGTTGGCTCATGCCATCGGTTCCCAAATGCGTAGATCGATGCACATGATGTTGATCACTGGATTGTCTGGTCCAGACTCGATTATTTACAGACCGCCGCCAAACAGCTGGAATATTGCTGATTGCGGCGTAAACCTAAACTCACTCACTCACTCTTTTGAACCTATTTTTCAAACCCATCTGCTTACCTAGTCATCCATAAAGTACCATACCTTCCTATTGCTTTCTTTACCTTTCCTATCAACTTCCAATCAAACAGATGATTGATAACATCTCTGTATCATATTCTTATTTAGTTGGGCGGTGGGGTAGCCAAGTGGTTAAGGCGTTTGCTCGTCACGCCGAAGGCCCGGTTTCGATTCCCCACATGGGTACAATGTGTGAAGCCCATTTCTGGTGTCCCCCGCCCCTAATATTGCTGGAATATTGCTAAAAGCAGCGTGAAACCCAACTCACTCACTCACTCACTTAAAGTTGTGGATGGAACTAGTTTGGTATATATAACTGCACTTTTAAAATTATTTTTCAGTGAGTAAATGTGTTTGGATTAAGAAAGATTCGGTTTATAAAGGTTACATCACGGTGTGGTTGCAGCGATCTCAACGCCGACAAATTTAATAGACATATAATTGAGAGCCCAATGTGTAACTGTGGTTTCTACACTGAAGACAATCTACAATATTTCTTTGTCTGCCAGATTATGACTTGATCAGACAAGATTTGTATTACTTTGTTAAAGGCTTTGATTTAAAATCTGTTCTTTACGGTCATTCCAGCTCAAACAAATATGGAATCCTGAAATCAGCGCACAGCTTAATTTTTTAATCAGGTAGATTTCCTGCTTTTGTAAATACAAAGATATGAAAGGTATAACTCCATAATTTCGCAAAGATCAAAGACACAAAACATAATTACATAATTTGCCATATACCTTATAATATACTGCCATAATTTTGATTGATATACGACATTATCACACTTGCCAACAACACTCAAATGATTATTTTATGATGTCACCACAATTATATTTTCTTCTCTCTATGTTGTATACCCCCTGTTTTGTTCACCGATCCCCAGTTCTTGTATTTCAAGATAACAATCACGGCGTGTCATCGTGGTGTAAAAGGAAACCGAAGTGATGCACGTCTTAGAGGAAAACACGAAGTGATGCACGTCTTAGAAGAAAACCCAAAGTGACGCATGTCTTAGAGGAAAACCCGAAGTGATACAGGTCCAAGATGAAAACCCAAAGTGATGCAGGTCCTAGAGGAAAACCCGAAGTGATACATGTCTTAGAGGAAAACCCGAAGTGATGCAGGTCTTAGAGGAAAACCTGAAGTGATACATGTCTTAGAGGAAAACCCGAATTGATGCAGGTCTTAGAGGAAAACCCGAAGTGATGCAGGTCTTAGAGGAAAACCTGAAGTGATACAGGTCCTAGAGGAAAACCCGAATTGATGCAGGTCCCGAAGTGATGCATAGAGGAAAACCCGAAGTGATGAAGGTCTTAGAGGAAAACCCCAAAGAAGTGATGCCTGTCTTAAAGGAAAACCCGAAGTGATGCATGTCTTAGAGAGAAAACCCGAATTGATGCAGGTCTTAGAGGAAAATGAAGGTCTTAGAGGAAAACCCGAAGTGATACATGTCTTAGAGGAAAACCCGAAGTGATACACGTCTTAGAGGAAAACACGAAGTGATGCAGGTCTTAGAGGAAAACCCGAAGTGATGCAGGTCTTAGAGGAAAACCCGAAGTGATGCATGTCTTAGAGGAAAACCCGAAGTGATGCATGTCTTAAAGGAAAACCCGAAGTGATGCATGTCTTAAAGGAAAACCCGAAGTGATGCATGTCTTAAAGGAAAACCCGAAGTGATGCATGTGTTAGAGGTTTACTACGTGCATGAAACCATCAAACACAAGTATGATACTGACAAAAACTCTCGTTTCTGAAATCGATGCTCATGGTGTTGATCACTGGATTGTCTGGTCAAGACTCGATTATTTACAGGCAGCCGCCATATAGCTGGAATCTACTAAGTGCGGTGTTAACTACAAACCAACCAACTATCTCCTTCTCTGAACATACAAAATGCGATTTAAAAGCATCAATCACTTTTATTGATCATTTAATCGATATCGTAGTTTAAATCACATATATAGGATATATTTGAAAACAGTAAGACATGTGAAAGAAAAACAATTTTGAAAAAAAACCAAAATAACAAAAGCAAGTTTCGTATGTGTGCTTATTAAAAACAAAAGTGGACAGTAATTATATTAAAGTTGTGGACTGGTGAATCCGTTAACCAGGTGAAACAAATAAGACTGGCAGAAACAAACCATCAACCAATAATGAAACCCTCAGGCAGGCATTGCAGGACGGACTGCCTCCAAACCTCTGTGCCTGGACAATTCTTCTCATAAGCATCACCGTATTGGTCACAGTGGATGAACATGTGCTTATCCGTCGGGTGCGGGTAGTAGAACAGATCTCCGGTCACTAAGGGATGAGGGCAGGGGTTAGGCAAGCCCTTGTCCAAGGTTTTATCGGTCGGCTTAACCGGATATCTGTATATACATGTGAGGTCCATCTGGTCCCAGATCTTCCCTGTCTCGCAGGACATGAGGTAGCCATAATTGGGCCAGTTGGAACAGTCGATGTATTTGGTAGGATCGGGAGGGTATGGGAAGAACTGGGCTCGCGTCGCCAAACTGCAAGGGTTGTAAAGAGACGCGGTGCTAGGTGGAGCTCTTGGAGTTGTGGTTGTGGTTGTAGTTGTGGTTGTGGTTGTAGGAGTAGTTGTCGGCGTTGTGGGAGTGCTGGCTTCCCCGGGGAAGCAGTCGTTAATTCGAGGGTCATACACGTAGTGAGGATTACACTGGAACTCATAGATACCTGTCGGGCCACAGATGATGAACTTGGTCTGGTCTATTGGGTGAATCTTGAAGCCTGGTCGTCCAGGGGTACAGGGACTGGGGAAGTAGTCTGTCAAATATGCAAAAATATGTAAAATATACAAACGCAAACATCAGGGCCCATTTACACAGAGCGATCTTAGTGCTACGACGGTCTGCGCTAAGGTCGCTTTGTGCATGTGGGCCCTGTTCGGTGTGCGTATGAGATTTGTTTATTTGTTATTTACCGCTACACATAGCAATATTCCAGCTAAGTGTTAATAATCGAGTCTGGACCAGAGAATCCAGAGATCAACAGCATGAGCATCAACTGGGATACGATGACATGTCAACCAAGTCACCGAGTCTGACCACCCGATCCCGTTAGTTGCCTCTTACGACAAGCATGGGGTGCTGCAGACCAATTCTAACCCGGATCTTCACGGGTTTGCGTATAGGAAATTAGGTAATGGCTATTTGCGATGTTAACAGCAATGCTAGAGCCACAAAACAGTCAAGTCTACACAGAATCGGAGTCTGTAGACCGTCTGAAATGCAGTCCAGCGATGTAGTGTTTAAACACGGAGTCTTGACCATGCGTTGCTGCCACCATGGTCATCTCTAACTGAGAATGTTCCGAGTCCACAAGGTCACAAGAGACCTTGACATCTCTATCACCTTCAGACGACAAACATGCTCATGGGAAAATTAGGGCGGCGGGGTAGCCTAGTGGTTGAAGTGTCCGCTCGTCAAGCCGAGGACCGGGTTTGATTCCCCAAATACGTGAAATTATTTGAAGCCGAAATTATTTGGGCCAAGATGCGTCAGCTTGGGACGTGTTTCAGAAAACGAGGTGAGGTAAGGTAAGCAGATAGGTTTGATGGGTGAGGTGCTTAGTGCATACTGTTCAAAAGAGGTCATGTAGGTTTCACGCGTTCTTACGGAATCTCTGTTTGATGTATTTAACTCTGTAGTGCTTCCCTTTTGTTTGACAATGGTATGAATAATAAAATATAAGGTGAATTGAGGTGAAGTGGGGTTTAACGTCGTACTTGAGAATATTGCGCTCATATGACGACGTGCATGCGTGTGTATGTGTGGCTGCTTGTAGTAGCCCAGACTTGAGCTGGTTTTATGGTGCTAGCTCACTGAGATACCATGCCGCAGTTAAGCACGAATACCCACCCAGACACATTATACTGACTCCGAGCCGACCAGTCCTTGTTGTACCCATTAATGCCGAGCACCAGACAGGGACCAACAAGTACCATATTTTAACGTCTTTTGGTATGACGCGGTCAGGGATCAAACCCGCGACCTTCCGCGGGCGGACGCTCCAACCACTCCACCACGGTTTTCAGAAAATGAGCTTTGAGCTAAGTCAATGTTTAAAGTATGGAAGGTCATCTTAACGATGGGATTGTATTGAGGAACGGTCCAACATTCTATCAAATCCGATTCTCGAATTTATCGCCTCCTATGGCAAATATACTAAGCAGCAAAAGAAACGTCAGTTTGGAATTTTCCTTCGCAGAAACGGATAACTGTAAACTCATTTAATGTTTTGATTGTATATTTTTGACAACATCTCCAACTTTACCTGAGCAAAGACATTCCTTCCCAAACTCAGAATTGAACCCAGGAAATGGTCTCAAAAACGCAACCAGATCTCGGAGATGGTACGGTGTTCTCCATGTTTTTCATGCAACTCATGCTGCACGTGCTGTTCACAAGGACCAGCCCTATTAAATGCACCCACAAACCTGTTTGAAACATTCACATTACGTCTTAACAGCGGGAACCTCCATTGCCGTAGACCGTACCGTGGACCTATCCTCACCCCTCATCATTGGCGTGAATATCTACAGTTTGCCCTACAACACCAAAACTGGCGATACAGGCAATGGAGAACTGTTCTGTTCACAGATGAGAGTCGGTACTGCGTATCAACTGCAGATGGCAGAGCAAGAATATGGCGACGACGTGGCCAGCGTTACTCAGACCAATGTGTTATGGAAAGAGATTCATAGGGAGGTGCACGCATCATGGTACGGGATGGAATAGGCCTGAACCAGCGAGTGTGTCCTGTGGTGTTCCAGAACCTTGGTCCATAATGTCATACCAAGGCCGAACACAGCCGATTTATTGTGCCAGGCCTTTCTCGGAGTGTGGTTCCAGGTGTCAATGGCCTTCATCAATCGATTGGTGCACTCCATGCATAGACGCTGTGCTGCAGTTATTGCCGCTCGTGGTGGTCACACTAGATACTGAAGTCAAGAGTCTGAATGGACTGCAAACGTTCACGTAATGTCTTGAAATTGTGCTGACTTATTCATTGATATTTCAGGATATTGTACACAAAAATGGTTTTTGATCCGCTTAAGATGTCAATTTCTGTAATGATTTGCTTACAGTGCCTATCTAATTTTAGAATTCGTACTGAAGTGTGTTTTGCTGCTGAGTATATTTGATACTGTTAACCCAATCCTCTGTCGAAACAAAGGTTCGTTAGTACCAAATATAGTGTAAAGCACCTTTATCTCGAAGTTGGAGAGACCTACTATGTACTTCGAGTTATCCGAGGTTTGACACACCCAAACTGTGCTTGGTACTTACATGGGGGTCTATAGTACTGGTAGAAGTGTCGGTAGATATTCGAAATATCGCAAGGTCTCGCCGAGTCTCGCTCGACGCACGTGACAGACACGCCTAAAACAAAAGGGACAAACGGATTGCGTTTTCATTGACGAAAATGTTAGAATATAGAACAACTGATACAGATATTAGATGGGTTTTAAATATGAATTGTATCCGTTTTTTACACAATACAAACATGATGACATGGTAACAGATCAATATTTGTTTGTATAATAATCAGGACATTTGTACAGCGCTGATCTCCACACTTCATGGGCATGCTCTAAGTGCAGACAACAGTTCAAGTCAATTTTGATATCTCCCAAAGCAATAGGTCTTGAGATGAGTTTTAAAAATGTCAAGTGAGATTTGAAAAGAATAGTTCATAACAATATTCGAAAATATTTTTGCATCGACTTTTTAAACAAAACAAAAACAGAAATAGATACAGCATGGGTAAATATCTTGTAGGTATTGATGCATAACAAATGTATGCCGAGATCTAAAAACTATTTTTCATACATATTTTTACATAAGAGCGAAATATACTACAGTACTTTGAAACTTGGAAATGACTTCATCAGTCGTCATCTTCAAATAAATAGTTCTTTAAATCCTGGAAAATTACTAGAAAAACTCTGATTTGTTCCAATGCTTCACAATAAATATTATTTACTGAACGTGCTTGGATTGTGCCCAAATTGTGCTTCAACCATGACGGAACAATTATTTTCCCAAATAAAAACATTCAGCACAGGAAAATAGACATTCGGTCCCTACCACTCTTCATTATACCGCATTCACACATTATTTTGATTTCTATCGGGAAACATACCTGGATTGACCTTTTCAACGTTGCCGATCCTTATGGTGTAGTTGCCGGTGCAGCCAGTGGGTGGCCCAGTAGGTGTGATGTTGAGGTACAGTGGTTTCAGTTCCTGGTCGATCAGAACCACGGATGCTGTAGTGACAACTGCATTACTGAAAAGGAAGTTGTTTGTTTTATAAATAGGACCAATTTATATTTACACAAAATTACACAACCATATATTACTTTTTCAAAGTGTTGACGTAATGGTATTTAAGAACAGTTCTTTCAATTTTGATTTACAAAATACGAAAATAAACTGGTATACTTTCTTTTGCTCCTCAGTATACATTGCCATGTCAGGTTAATGAAAGAGGATGGGCTGCCGTAATAGGTCGTGGATGTTTGCGATTATTGGCACTGGCAAACCAAGGATCATTATAAGGATGTAATTAGGAAACGAACCCACTATTCAGCGGATCCCGCTAAAGGGTGTTAAGTGACATTATACCTGAGAAAATCGGTGTCTGCTTTGTTTGGGGAGGGATTGCTCAGCGAGCCATAGATGTCCACCATTCCGTCAGAAACATCAATCTGAAATTGATGCATATGTGAATAATTAAAAGATAAGGTCCATGAATGTGCGAGGATTGTACATCGTGTATTATTGGTACATCACGACGCGGTGTTTGTTTGTTTGTTTGATGTTTAACGCCGCACTATTCCAGCTATATGGCAGCTGTCTGTAAATAACCGAGTCTGAACAAGACAATCCAGTGATTCGATCTACATGAGCAATTGGGATACGATGACATGTGTCAACTAAGTCCTAAAGCTTGACAAAGCCGATCCCTTTTGTCGCCTCTTACGACAAGTATGGGTTGCTGAAGATCAATTCCAAACTGCCGACTGAGCGTTAAACTGTGTGGTAGTTAAACTGTCTCGGGAAACCGCCGATTGAGTGTTAAACTGTCTCGGGGAACCGTCGACTGAAAGTTAAACTGTCTGGGAGAACCGCCAACTGAAAGTTAAACTGTCTCGGGAGACCGCCGATTGAGTGTTAAACTGTCTCGGGGAACCGCCGATTGCGTGTTAGCTGTCTCGGGGAACCGTCGACTGAAAGTTAAACTGTCTGGGAGAACCGCCGAATGAAAGTTAAACTGTCTGGGAGTACCGCCGACTGAATGTTCAACTGTCTCGGGTAACCGCCAACTGAATGTTAAAATGTCTCGGGGAACCGTCGACTGAATGTTAAAATGTCTCGGGGAACCGCCGACTAAGTGTTAAACTGTCTGGGAGTACCGCCGACTGAATGTTACACTGTCTCGGGGAACCACCGACTGAATGTTAAGCTGTGTTGTAGTACCGCCAACTGAATGTTAAAATGTCTCGGGGAACCACCGATTCAATGTTAAACTGTGTGGGAGTACCACCGACTTAAAGTTAAACTGTATTTTGGAACCGCCGACTGAATGTTGAACTGTTTGGGAGTACCGCCGATTGAATGTTAAACTGTTTCGGGGAACCGCCGACTGAATGTTCAACTGTTTGGGAGTACCGCCAACTGAATGTTAAAATGTCTCGGGGAACCGTCGACTGAATGTTAAAATGTCTCGGGGAACCGCCGACTGAGTGTTAAACTGTCTGGGAGTACCGCCGACTGAATGTTACACTGTCTCGGGGAACCGTCGACTGAATGTTAAAATGTCTCGGGGAACCGTCGACTGAATGTTAAAATGTCTCGGGGAACCGCCGACTGAGTGTTAAACTGTCTAGGAGTACCGCCGACTGAATGTTACACTGTCTCGGGGCACCGCCGACTGAATGTTAAGCTGTGTGGTAGTACCGCCAACTGAATGTTAAAATGTCTCGGGGAACCACCGATTCAATGTTAAACTGTGTGGGAGTACCACCGACTTAAAGTTAAACTGTATTTGGGAACCGCCGACTGAATATTAAACTGTTTCGGGGAACCGCCGATTGAACGTTAAACTGTCTCGGGGCACCGCCGACTGAATGTTAAACTGTGTGGCAGTACCGTCGACTGAATCCTAACCGTTTCGAAAACCGCCGATTAGCGTGAAACTCTCGGAGAACTGCCGATTAGCGTGAAGCTCTCTCGGAGAACCGCCGATTAGCGTGAAATTCTCTCGGAGAACTGCCAATTGAATGTCAATCTGTCTTTGAGTACCGCCACCTGAGTTTTAAACTTACAGAGACTTGTACGAGCGAGCCATTTGTTACAATCTGGTACATTCCGCCTTTCGAGCATTGGTACTTATAGATGCCATGGTTGAGGACAGTGGGTGCTGCAAAACAAAAGTGTCACTATGAATGTATTTTAAATGTGGTTCAAAACTGTAATAATCACGGTGTCAATAATTAGATTGGTAGAGGTACTCGCAAGACAGAATTGCGTTAAGGAAATGGACCGATTCAGTTTGAGAGCTTTATCGAAATTCATAACGAGACAACATGCCTTCAAAACACGTATATTCTTTAGAGACAAATGCATACCCGTTTCTTCAGGTAAATAGGTTTCTTGAGAATAAAGTTGTTGTGTTTTTGTGTGTGAATAGTGTGATATTTCAAGCAACTGGTATTTTGTGGAGAGCGACACTGATGGCTTCAAGACCGAGATCCTTTGGATTCCTGTGTATTTGGAATCATGGCAAACATGCAAGTCAGGAAAACGATGATGATGATGATGATGATGACGACGACGACGATGATGATGATGATGATGATGATGATGATGATGATGATGATAACTATGACACATTTAACATACCTTTACAAGAAACCTGCTGCATTTGATCGACAAGAGCACCAAGGTCAGAGTAGCCCTTAAGTTCTATCACATGGGTACAGTAGGGCTTGTTGGCGACATTCCTCAGCTCTGTGCTGTCGATACCATCACCAACACCAATGGCGAAAATAGTGATTCCTTTGTTCCTTGCACCCAAAGCCGCATACACAGTTTGCCTCGGGTTACTCGACTGGCCATCCGTCAGGAGAACAATCACTTTGGACGATCCGTCTCTGGCACCCATGGCAGGTGTGAAGAGGTGTTCAGAAGCATAGTTCAGGGCTTCATCGGTATCCGTTTCCCCATTGTCCATAACGATGCCATCAATTGCATTCTCGAGGGAAACTTTGTCGTTGTATTGGTTGAAGGCAAACTGGGACTTGAAGCCGGTGCTGAATGTCACGAAAGCGACACGAACATCATCTGTACCAATTTTGAAGTTGTCGACGACTTCATGAGCGAACTTTTTGGCACTGTCGAAATCCTCCGGAGCCTGACTAGACGAGGCGTCCACCAGAAAGGCAATGTCCAGGTCAGTTCTTGCACAGACTGGAAGTAGCACAAATTCAGCAATACATTTCGGTTGAGGAGACATTAGAATTATCAATAGTGCCATTCAAGGAGGTCGCGAGTACTGTCTCGGAAAACCAAATGTATGGAATCCCAGATGGGACATTGTCGCATTGCCTCGCTGTTATTCTGGTTCTATTTGTACCACAGGGCAACATTCACCAAGGCAACAATGTACCTTCCCGGATACTACTATGTATTCAACGATGATAAACTAGACAAGAACATGATGCAGAGATGGTATCAATTATCTCTTTGATTGGCATTTTAGAAGTTGAAGGTAAAGAAAGCAATAGGAAGGTATGATACTTTATGGATGACTAGGTAAGCTGATAGGTTTGAAAAATAGGTTCAAAAGAGTGAGTGGGTGAGTTTAGTTTTACGCCGCACTCAGCAATATTACAGCTATATGGCGGAGGTCTGTAAATAATCGAGTCTGGACCAGACAATCCAGTGATCAACATCATGAGCATCGATCTACGCATTTCGGAACCGATGGCATGTGTCAACCAAGTCAGCGAGCCTGACCACCCGATCCAGTTAGTGGACTCTTATGATTAGCATGGGTTACTGAAGATCAATCAAAACCCGGATCTTCACGGGTCTGTTCACAAGAGGTCAGGTAGGTTTCAAGTTGTCTACTTAATCCTTTGATGTATAAAAACATCATAATATCATCCATCAAGTATCATATTTTCAAATGTCATCAATAGCTGAAAATATTAATATATGCAGGATATAGGAACATAACATCAGATGTTATTTATCAACACTATTTCCCATATATACCCGTTGAGTGATATAACGTCGAGTGAAAGTACTGTTCCAACCGACGTTAAATGGACAGAACACGTCACAATTTAATTATGGAAACCCCAGTGTCGAAAAACTCTCCACACCTGAACCAGTTTCTGACAAAGGATTTGACCAAATTCAATATGCAGTTATCATGAATATATGCTAAGGATGAAGAAATGAAAGCAAATTCTGTTTTGGAAAACTCCAAATTTGAACTACCACAATCTGGCCCATGGGCGAGAATATTTACCTTTTTTCAAAATAATGTTGTTGTTTTTCTCTTGTTTTAGAGGTTGTAAATGAATGAAAGTAAGTATCATGACACAAAATATAGCGTTATTGAAGTATCTCGCCCATGGAGCTGGCGTTTCCTTATATTGCACATATATTGTTGAAAATACATGAAAGTTATCAGAGGGCAATGCGTTATGAATATCGTCATGTACATAAAAGTGACAAAGAAATAACCCCGTTAGTCACCTCGTACGACAAGCATGGGTTACTGAAGACCCACAAAGGAAACATATAAAAATGAGAAAAAGGAGATTTGACTATACTTGCATTGCACGGTGTATATTGAAATACACAATGCCATTTGATGTATATTCTTAAAGGTGGCACATAAAATATCAAACTGTTAATTACAGCGGAAGTAATATCTAATCGTGTTGAATCCATACCTGTATCAAAACTTTTTGAACCTCTGTAGAATAGGTTTGCAGCATGGGGATCAACGAAGAAGTATTTCCCATAGAAAGAGCCTTGCTTCTCTACACCCTGTGGGAGGGGTTCGGTAATGGTGGTCAGATAGAGAGCAGCAGCGAGTCCGGAGTACAGAGGCTTCCTGAGATCTGACCACTGAACTGTATTCCAGTCGATGGCAAACTGTGTGTTGACGTCCGCGAACAGGGTGCCAGAGTTCTTGATCATGTTGAACTTGTCCTGGTCGATCTGAAGTAAAGAATACACGTGAAACCTCGTTTCCTCAAAACTGTCGACAATACGTCTCTGTTGATATCTCCCTGACAACCATTTTATGTTCCCAAGTAATGTTTTGAAAACTTTGTCAATGAATGTGTGAAACAGGGAGCTTGCGTTCCTGATCATGTTTAACTTGTCATAGTCGATCTGTGGTAAATATGGACATTGTGTTACCAAGGCCTTGTGGTAATAATGTTCAAGTGATATGTTAGTTCTTATCCTTTTATCATATAAATATAGTGCACTGTTATTCTAAGCAAGATATTTATCTATATGTTGTTTCCACTGTTTCCACTCGATTATTTACAGACCTTACAGGCGCAATTTCTTTTAACCATGCAACTGTAGTGATCAGCTACTCGATGGAATAACAGCAAGGAACGCTTACAATGTATTGTCTGAAAGCCTCCATTGGCAACAACCTGTACTAACGACAAAAGTACGGGAACCCATGAAATATGTGAAGGTGGAATGGCGATAAATGTCTTTGAAATGAATTTCGGGCGTGTATACGATGCTGCGGGGTATATGCTCAACACCTTGATAGCAACTGTTGTTTAAGTGGCATAAGTATTGCCCGCTATTCCGTCTGATGAACAACCCCGCCGTGATATTGCTAGAATATTGCTAAAACTGACTGACTGAGTTTGGTTTTATGCCGCTTTTAGCAATATTCCAGCAACATCACGGCGGGGACACCTGAAATGGGCTTCACACATTGTGCCCATGTGGGAATTCGAACCCGGGTCTTCGGCGTGACGAGCCAACGCTTTAACCATTAGGCTACCCCACCGCCCTGAATATTGCGAAAAGCGGCGTAAAACCATACTTTCCTAATCTGATGAACAACACCAAACTTTGTCGGATGCTGGGTCTCTAGCGCATACACTCTCCATTGAGAACATCCCAGATGATCTATGTTCGCTGAACGTGTTGTGCCACGTTATCGATCACTTAACGTCCCGTCTTGAACCTTTGATTTTCGGCAGTCCGTCATATATAAACTTACAAACATGCAAGCACACTAACTATTGACATTGTGTCTCATAAGGTAAAAGATTACAATAAATGATGCATTAATATACTGGACAAACTAAGTTATGGATATTGGTATTTTTATGATTGATATGTTATCAGTGTGTCAATGAATAAATAGATCATTATTCATAATTTCAAAATTTACATATATCCCTAACTATTTTGTCCAGTGTACATGCCCAGGCCCCGCGGAGCATCAGACACCCACCTGCCAAATTCCCCCATCATAGCCAGGTCTGTACGTTTTAACGTCTGTTCCATCGTGGGAAGCCACGTATGCCAGGCGTCTGAGGAAGAGCTTGTCGTGAGGGAAGATACAAGATTCCCGGATCTTATTCACCACAGCTTCCGCAACCTCCTCGCCAGATGTTCCTGGAACTCGAGTCTGATCCTGGCCAAACGCCAGGCCTACGAGGAACACCCAGCAAACGAACACCGACGATGTCATGTCTGTTTTGGCACCAGTGTAGGTGAGGATGTTCATGTACAGACAAAATGACCTCTACGCAAATGACGCTATTCCTTTTAGTGATAAGGCTAAACACGAATATCCAATAAAGACAAGATACATAGTTGACAGACAGTTGAAAGAGGAAGAAGGGGCAGGCTCTATTTAAGGGTTATCTTGTAAACTGAGATGTCAAACTAACCTCGGTAAGTCGCATTGCTCCTGTGGTCTGCACTAGCCGCTCTCGTTTTGAAGTTGGGGTCTAAGGGTAAGGGTGGGTTTGCACAGAAATATCCCGATGCTGTATAGTTATGGAATGTGGGTGGTTTGTCGTGACAAACAGTAATTATATACCGTTTGAAATCATTTTAAGATTAATCCACCCGGGCTTTGTGTACACATTATATTTCCTGTTGAACAACGTCATCAGTCCTTCCGACCATATTATATTTAGATGGAAGAAAACACTGATTTTTTCTACTGCAAACCAACTGTGCTTCTATGTTTTCAGGTCTAAGATAATGTCTTTGTATAAATGTTATGAAGTTCCCCTCCGCAATTAAATGTTTACTCTTGATAAACAAACTTCCGTTGACAGAAAAGTAATTAGTAACGGTTTAATCTAAATCCTGTGGGGTTCGGTTAAAAGAGATGCAGTGACGTTTACCACTTACGTCGCACTAATTAGCAGAAAAGCACGTGATGTATTATAATTGCACAGCAAGGCCCATGAAGGTGCTAGAGGTAGCAGTATATTACCTAATGAAGGGGCAAGAAGTAACCCTACATTGCCTGATGAAGGGGCACGAAGTAGCCCTACATTGCCTGATGAAGGGGCACGAAGTAGCCCTACATTGCCTGATGAAGGGGCACGAAGAAGTAGCCCTACATTGCCTGATGAAGGGGCACGAAGTAGCCCTACATTGCCTGATGAAGGGGCACGAAGTAGCCCTACATTGCCTGATGAAGGGGCACGAAGTAGCCCTACATTGCCTGATGAAGGGGCACGAAGTAGCCCTACATTGCCTGATGAAGGGGATGAGGGGCACGAAGAAGCCCTATATTGTGCCTAATGAAGGGGCACGAAGTACACGAAGAAGTATATTGCCATGATGAAGGGGAAGGGGCACGAAGAAGCCCTACATTAGGCCTGATGAAGGGGCATGAAGGGGAACGAAGTAGCCCCATTTTACCTAATGAATGGTAAAAATGTAGCCATGTATTACCTGATGAAGGGACAAGAAGTAGCTATATTACCTGATGAAGGGACAAAAAGTAGCTCTATATTACCCAACGAACGCGTAAGAAGGAACTCTACATTACCTGATAAAGGGGAAAGAAGAGGCCTAACATTAGCTGATGTGATGTCAAGAAATACTTCTATTGAACACAATGAATCTGTAAGAAAACATCATATATCACGTGTTCGGACTAGACAGAGTCATATATTAGCCAATGAAGGAGATAGAAGTAACCCTGTTAAGTATTGTGATGAAATTAAGTATTGCCTGATGAAGGACCAGAAGTAGCTCTATATTACCCAATGAAGGGGCAAGAAGTAGCCCTGTACTACACCATGAAGAGCAAGAAGTAGTCCTACATTGCCCAAACAGGGGCTAGGAGAAGCACTATATTAGCTAATGAAGAGCAAAACGTAGCCTTGTATTACCTAATGAAGGGGCAAGAAGAAGTCATATATTATCCAATGAAGGGGCAAGAAGAAGTCATATATTATCCAATGAAGGGGCAAGAAGTAACCCTGTTAAGTATTGTGATGAAATTGTTATCCGTACTACTTATTGTCATAATACATAAAGTAAACTATGGTTCTAACGAAATCAAACGGACCTCAACTTTCAGTTCGTCATAACCGTCGTTCGTCATACGCATTTCGACTTAAATATACAGCAAGACGTCGGGACAAATGTAAAATGTAAATTTATAATGTAGGTTACAATTTCATGTAGGAACACGATTACCTGTCGAGTTTATTGCTTAATTCCTATACTTTGATATATACTTTTGTGAAATAGGGACTACCTGTCCATGATGGCTGACAGGTAAGGATCGAGTTGTTCGATCTGATTGTGGGAGTGACCATTCTGAGGGGATTGTTGATCAGGCAAAACTGAATTCTCTTCGTATATTCAACAATCGGTCCCAGCTCCTAATAATTGTCGAAAGAAAGGAATATATTAGATCGAGTTGTCAGATTTCGGTCGCTTGATTTCGCGTCCTTGTGAGTGAGTTTAGTTTTACGCCGCACTCGGCAATAGTCAAGCTACAGCGCCGTGACAAAAGTATTCGCGGAAAAACAAGATGGCGGACGTAAACAAAGTACCGTCTCAAAATTTCAAACAGGATTTACAGAAAAATGAATAGTTAAAATTACCTCAGTATTTTGTCAGATGACCTTTGCTACGTATGCAAGACAGTATCCGGGCTGGTAGTGAGCTGTACAAATTACGCACATATTTCACACTAAGGTTTGTCCATATGTCATGAACCGCTCTGAAAAGTTCATCTGGGGTGTTGATGTGTTTAGCTTGAATTTCAAGTGATCTCTTCATCCGATGCCAAACATTTTCAATAATGTTCAAGTCTGGAGACTGGGCTTGCCACGTGATATATATACATATCTAATGTCATTGTCACGTTTGTAATGCTCCAAACTCCTAGCCCGAAGTACAGGTGCATTGTTATCTTGAAAACGGTATGGTTTATCCACAAAATGACGGGCTAAAACTGCCCACAGGTTGTCATCGAGAATGTTTCTGTACTTTATGGCATTTATGTTTCCATCAACTTTAGAAATATATCCCACACCAAACCAGGTAATACATCCCCAGATCATAATAGATGCCTTGCGATGACATGGCGGATACATACATTCTGGACGGTATGCTTCAGCTGACGATCTCCAAATAAATACTCGATGATTTTGTCCGATCACAAACTGAGACTCATCACTGAAGATTATCTGATTCCTCTGACCATTCACAGTCCATCTTCTATGGTCTAAGCACCATGAGGGGCGGTGGGGTAGCCCAGTGGTTAAAGCGTTCGCTCGTCACGCCGAAGGCCCGGGTTCGATTCCACTGGGCATTCACATTTCTGGTCCCCGCCGTGATATTGCTAATATTGCCAACAGCGGCGTAAAACCCAACTCACTCACTCACTCTAAACACCATGACGACCTCTTCCTCCGGTTCACTTCCCTGATATGCATCCTGTTCCGAATAACACGTCGAAAAACTTTAGTTTTGTGCAATGTCCGCTGAGATGTACGTGGATGAACCGTGACATCTCTCCCCTCATTATACAAGAAAGTTATGTCCTTCAAAACACTTCCACGGTTTTTGCGAACAGTACGAAGTAATGACTTTCTACCTCTCTCAGTGATCTTGGAGGGTCGCCCACTTCTTCGTCTATTTTCAACACTTCCCGTTTTCAAAAATTTTTTTCCATATGAAAGAACATGTAGTTTCAGGAACCTCTAACAGTCTTGATATCTCTACAAATCGTTTTCCTTTCAGTTTTAACTGCACAACTGATGATTTCACATCATCTGTCAGCTCTGTCTACCTACGGCCCATGTTTACATTCATCCGTCTGCGATGACGTCACGAGAGCAGACGACAAAAGTATGACGTCACAGTTCGAGAAGATTTGTTGACGTTTCATCTGGGGGCCATATCAAAGTCATACACAAAGTATTTTGAACTGGATATCAGCCGAAGCAGCTCGAAACGTTCACGTTCGTTTTCATTTCCGCGAATACTTTTGGTATATGGTGGAGGTCTGTAAATAATCGAGTCTGGACCAGACAATCCATTGATCAACAGCATGAGCATCGTTCTACGCAATTGGGAACCGATGACATGTGTCAACCAAGTCAGCGAGTCTGACCTCCCGATCCCGTTAGTCGCCTCTTACGACAAGCATGGGTTACTGAAGACCAGTTCTAACCCGGATCTTCACGGGTGTAATCAGATTTTAGCTAGTATGCCAGACTCTTGAGTGGGATATAACTGCAGGTTTTGCTGATTGTGACGTAATATGATAGATTTCTACATCTAAATAAATCTTTCTAATACAAACGTCATGGTTATGAATATATTGATGTAACGGTAACCTACATGTAACAAAGGCTACCGATAACCCAACAGAATGAATCGATATCGGAACATTATCGGATGTATTAACGGTTGTTGACGTGCAGGTTTTTACCATGACTGGTTTCATGATGAAATGCCTGTCTCACAACAAATAACGAAGTTAAATCAATTTGCACAAAAACTTGCAATGCTTATACGACTTTTTAGCACATGTTCGGTAATTGTAATTTAAACCTCATGAACTCATATAAGACGATATGCTAATCTTCTATGAATCTCCAGGAGGATTGCTACGATTGTTACTGACCTATGGTGTAGTACTAAAGCATTTTGCATCTTTCTATGTATTTAGCTGCCAAAGGTTTGCTCACATTTTACATCAACGTTCAACGTTCACATCCAGTCTCTTATTACGATCCATGATCAATGTATGCACCTAGGATTTGTAGCCATGATGTGCAGGTTTAGATAGGCCGCTAAGCAGATACGCACCATCTATGGTAGGGTTTCAATTTTTTGGTGTGTGAATACTTCTCGGTCGGTAAATCACCTTGAGTAACTATAATTCCTTCATCACTTTTGAAATACTGTTGATGTCGGACCGAATGGATCTACACACAGTAAGCAGTTTAAGTCATGACAATGTAGTGATATGCAAGGAGACGATAACTAATTCCATTCAGGTGAGGTGAGTTGAGGCGAGGTGAGGAGAAGTTAGGTGGGGCATGGACGTGTGAAGTAGGGTGGGGTAAGGTTTGAAGGGGTGAGGTGAGGCGAGGTTTGGAGGGGTGAGATGAAGTGGGGTTTGGAGGGTGTGGTGAGGTTGGAGGGTGTGATGAGGTGGGGTTTGGAGGGTGAGGGGTGAGGTGAGATGGGGTTTGGAGGCGTGAGGTGGGGTGGGGTGAGTTTGAAGCCGTTATCACTTCACCAATAACGAAGTGAATACACGTGTG